CATTCAATAACATTGATAAGATGATGCACAAGTGTAAAATGTACAACCAGAAAAATACTAAACTCCGAGGAAAATTCAAAACGGAAAGTGCCTAATCAAATGGCAATATCAAAAGCTCAAAGAGATCAAACGAATGGATAACAACTGTCATATTCCTGACTTGGTACAGGCATTTTCTTATGTAGAAAATGGAGGATTAAACCATTTTGGAATAAAACAGTTTTATATATGTTAATCCTACAATACCCAAAGCAATAAAACACTTATCTAACAATTCCTATGACTTAAATACAAAACCTGGCTTGTAAATATTATAACTAGTACTGATAGAGTCTGTTCATTCACAAACATGCACCGCAGAACACGAATTGTGTATTACACTAAAGAACCAAGTCAGGAATATGACAGTTGTCATCCATTCGTTTGATGTGTTTTAGCTTTTGATTTTGCCATTTGCTTAGGGACTTTCCGTGTAGAATTTTCCTCGGAGTTCGGTATTTTTGTTATTTTACTTTTTACTTAACAAAGTCACCGACTATCTCGAGACAAAGTTGCTGAAGTCCCTATAATCTAAAAATTTAGAAGTGTTTTGTATCTGTTCTGTCATTGCAAATTCATTGTAAATTATCAAACCCATTATCATCCAGACATCGAACTGGTCAATCCTGGTTTACTTTCGGTTAAACAAGGACGCAGAGAAGTGTATTCCTAATTGGAAACTATCTGTCTTAACTAACATGAACTATCATACCATTCTATGAAGTACACCTCCTAATGGTCTCTGCTTACGTTGTAGAATGCATCACTCTAGTGAAAAGTGTTCGTGAAACATCAATTTTCAAGAGTTCCTAGTAAATAGTTTTGCTATTTACTAAACAAGCAAAACAATTAATATAAGATAGAGATTCTACCTGACTATATCGGGATATAGGTACTAAGTCAAATATTAACAGGAATTTCTGATAATATTTAAAAACGGGCACGGATAAGAAAAATAAACAATAACAAAATGTTCAGGCATGGTTCAAAATTAAAGCACAATGCGGATAATTTATATAAGTTTTCATGCTTTAAAACAAATCATTGATTTACGCCTGCGTAAACTAGATCAATTTATTCGTGCATTCTATGGACAAATACAGTTTGCCTGCATTAAAGCAACGTGTAATTTTTCGATAGTCTACCATAGAGCAATGCGTAACATTTCGTTCATCGACACTGGAGAAACTTTTTACAATTTCAACATGATAATAGCCACGGATTCATTAAATAATTAATTATGACGATAATTGGCGACAATAGATGGTTATACCTCATATTGACCTTTGAACTAGGTTAGCTAAACAAAAGTAATGACGGCATTACAGTACACTTTCAGTGCATTTTCGTTTCAGTACATTAATTTTGTTAAATTTTTCTTGCAATTTTCGGACCTACAAATAACTTATAATTCGTACATCTACATCACATTAGCTGTTGTGGATACTTTTTTCAATTGATTTTATACCAACTCGTCTTGTTTTCATATACGAAGAGTTATTATATACATAATCTAACTAGTTTTGTTAACATAAATACTTTAATTAAGTTAGTGGGAAATACTCATTCACATTTGTTATTTGATCACACTGTGTCGATACCTCTGCTGATGGACTGTTAGATCTCGAGTGTATCACCAAACCAATAGACAGTACCTCGGTTCTGGCATGAAATACGTTTCATTTAAATTACTGTTATAAAATTTCGAAATAATTTTGAATGAAGGAATGTATCTCCCTGCAGCCGGTAGTACGAACGTGTCATTAGTCTAATGAGTCATTAAGTCTTCATTAGCCTAATGGATCATAAAGGCTTAATGAAGACTTAATGACCCATTAGGCTAATGTCACGTTCGTACAACCGGCTGCTGAGGTATAACTTTGATTCCTTGTCGGGGTTTGGCTTTGATTTTGGTCCTTTTCGGTTTTACCAGCTAGGTTACGGGTTTCAAATAGTTTGGCCTCCAGCATCACTGAAGACATATTATTGTCAAAATGCGCATATGATGCAGTGAAATTGGTACCGTTAATATTATCATATTTGACAATGGAAAATATACATCTTGGTTAAGTACTAAACATTTTCTAAAATTCAATCATGCTGATCCAACTGTAGAAAACACATTTATATTAGCTAATCATAAGTTATTTGAAATGTTAACCGCTCGATGATGAAAAAAATCAATTTGAATTGTGACTTGTCACAATGCTACATGGATTACACGAGGAGATGACTCCAGTCTTTCCTTATTAAATGTTTTGTTATACCAGTGTCAGTAATTGTTGTACATGTGACGAGTTATTTGATTCCTTAGATTTAGTTGTATCATCCTCAATACCGACGTTGGTTGAATACGGCATATCAGAATGTACTCCTGTTGCTATTCTGTCACCGTGTTTCTCTAATTCTATGGAAATTTATCCCTTTCCGAACCCATTGTATAAAAAAATTTAATCAACGTGTGGTTGCCAGTGATCTCAGAAGATGATTGGATGAGTTTAAGGGTCATAACCTTTCTCAGCTCACTGGATGCATCAAAATATGCTAACAGGTGTTAATGAAATTGACAACTTTATGGAAAGTGGAAGGCACTCGAAGGGGATTTTAGTTTAGCAAAAAAGGAAAATTATTTTTTTATTCATTAGAGAAACAGATTCTTACATAGTTACTCGTGGATTATCGGATTTATTCAATCTCGATAGTTAAATCCGATAATCCACTGGTATCAATGTAAGAATCTATATGTATCATGTCATTCTCTGTAAGGGGGATCTTGTCTTACTCATTTCTAACTGTGCTTATAACGACTCCTAAGGTTACGCTTAATAAATCTGGGAAATTTCGAAGATTCATCTGTTACATTCACTTTTTCAAAACAGTATTCATCCCATGTCCAGTAGTAACAATGGTTACACTATGGTGACATTAGGTTACTCCTTAAGTTATACTCGTTTAAATCTAGAATCTGTACAATTGCTGGGTCACATTGGTTTCATTTGTTACATTGGTTACATTGGTTAAATAATATTCACAATAAAGTTGCTCAAAACAGGCTTATTTTGCAGGTCCCATTATGGTCTTACAAAGGTTTAAGTGTGGTAACACAGGGTTACAATTTATACTTTAAAGCTGAAAATTGATTAGTTACTTTGGTAATATTCACTATTAATAAAAAATGTTGGGTTCGTTTAACCTTTAGCTACATTTATACGTACAGTTCTTCCGTATAAATGTATTTGATATTTCTACCGTTTAAATGTATTTGATATTTCTATCGTATAAAATAGTTTCGGATATACCCACCGTATGATATCATCGTACATTTCTACCGTATACTCGTATTGAATATTTCTTTTGTATCATAGAATTGGTCATTTCTACCGAATAATATAGTTGCACATTTCTACCGTATACCAGGTTCGGACAGTTCTACCGTATACCGTATACTAGTACGTTCATTTTCAAGTATGTTACCAGTAGGTTTTGTATATCAGATTCATGAACATTCAAACAATATTACTCGTGGGATTTACATTGAGGTTTACAGATTTGAGTGCAATTTGTATTTTATTGAACAGTGTACCCTCCCCGAAAATTCGCTCAGGAAAATTCTTTCGGGAATAGATAAAAATTCCTTTCTGATGTATATATGCTTTTAAAGCCCAAAAAGGACGCGTAGGGTGAAAGAATTAAAATGTTGTTATAAGAAGGAAACATTGAAAGTTTTTCTTTCTTTCCCTGACAACAACAAAACAATTAATTACTAAGCATAATTCACGAAAGTAGACCATTGTGAAAATGAAGAAATGTCTGAACATCAAATGATATATATGTTTGAAATATTTATCTTTACACGATAACAAAAAAGTTTGTTTTATTAGGTTTTGATATTTCAATGAATTTTAAATAATTTGATGAAAACATTTATCGATATCTTCTCTTCGTTTATAGACAGCTTTATTTCTATTTGTAGCTCTCCTCGGGAATTTGACAAGTTTTTGGATAGGAAAAAGGTTAAAAATAATTTAAAGCCCTCCCTTTTCCATCTCCGTATTCATGTTGGGATAATTTGTTGTTGATGCATTTTTTTAAATGCATAAGGACATTTTACGGTCATTAAATGACATTTTGCTTTATTCTTTCATGTTTTACTATGGAGCGAAGCCAGACAATTGTAACCAAGTTAACCTAGCAATCTCCAGATTTTAATGTTAAGTGTAATCAAGTGTTTGTTACTATAGTTTAAGCAAGTTACCCCTATAATCATGCATTGTAAGCATGAACAAAATGCTTGTAGTATATATTCAAACAGAATGTAATCAAACCATGTACCTAGACTTAAATGAAAAAAAAATAGTCATTACATATTTGAAATTATCATGAAACTGTGAATTTTACTCATGTAAACATTCTTATGTAGTGGTTACAAATTCTAATATGTTGATTTTAGAACACGTTTTTGGCCATATGCGGTTACAAACCGCTGCTTGTATAACACTCTGATAAAGGAGTCTTCGATAGAATAACATACATGAAGATGGATGTGTTAATCTTTTCTCTTATTAGAACACTTGAACTGAAGCGTTGGAAATATAAGGAATACGACAATATATATTTTAATTGTTTTCGAATTGTTTTAAATCAGTTGCACTTTAATCACAAAACAGATTATTATGCCAAAAAAAAGTCGGGCACATGTATTTAATTATACCAGTTATACCTTTTAATTGACGAGAGCGGAGAGGATTTCTTATTTAAACTGCCCAAAATACCTGTGTTTATGCTTGAAATCGAAACCGAAATCGATATAGTAAGTATAAATATAGTTTTTATTTTCTTTCAGATAACGATATATTTTTTAATATATTTATTAATAGACATAACATAAGTAATGAGTGACTAGAAAACGTAATGATTTAATCTGATTGTCATCTAACGTCGAATCTTTGCACCAGGAAGTTTATTCGCTTTGATTGTCTATTTATAACTGATCATCACGGTTTAGTGTAAGTCATTCTATTTTCCAAATTCATGCGTTAATGATTCTGCTCGGTAAGAACTTCATTTTCATTTCTTGGTCAGACAGAAATGAGATGTATCTTCCTTTGTACATTTTAATCTTACCATTTGCATTATGATATTAACAACCCCAAAAATAAACAGACTGTGTGCATGTAAAAATCATTGGTTCATTGGTCATTAATTATCGATTTTTTATAATAACAGTGCGTTTTATCAGCTAATAACAACAATTCGGTGTACAGAAGTCTGATCATTGAGGTGTTGATTGATTTTAATTCCCTTCTGACACAGACGACGACTTTAGTGGTTAAAACTTTAGGTCAGTTGTGTTCATTGGAATGTGCAACCAACCGTATATGCCTTATGCATTTTGTAGAGTATGTTAACTTCTATGTTTCTGTTGGTGATCTTTTTCGCTTCTGTTTTGTCTAACTGATAAACATCTCTTAACTTCGATTATTGTTATTTTCATATACTTTGTTACCCATCTGTCTAGTATTACAAGGGCTAATTAACGCCACTTCTGGAAGGTTTCTTAAATTTTCTACTGGTTACACTTTAAATCGACCAATTTACGTGTATTGAATACCAGTTGTAAATATCAATACATGAGAGATAAGTGAACGCATAAACCTTATCCTCTATTCGATCTGCTACAACGATTCTTATACATTTGCATATCAACATGACTTTTTATAGAGATCATTACTCTATTTTCGTTTATTTTAGCAGAAAAAAGAGATTTAATATAGTTTAGCTATAAGTTGTCAAATATGACGAAGAATCAAGCCAGCTTTATTCTGTACCAGAATGCAAACTATTCCCACGACAATAGTAATGTCTTTATATTACCCACCCTTTACCGCCCCTTCTTTCATGTTTTATCGGAAGTCCAAACGATGAATGATGTCATCGAGGGATATAAGTCATTGTCGCTCTTCCAGCTCGAACTTATAGTTATGATGTTATGGACATGGCCTGTTTACTTAGATTTGTATTCCAGGAATAGTTATTGGCTGTTCTATATTTTGTTGTCGTTAAAATTTTCGAAACGTGTTACGTACCGGTATCTGATTTCCTAAAATTTAGCTGTCGAATATTTCTTATGGTAGTTTTTCTTTTCGAAACCCTTGTGGAGACATTAACAACGTTTTATGATGTGTATCATATTAATGCTAAGAAACCAATATCATATGATTAATATAGATAACAATCAAAGTCAACTGGTTTTCCGCTAGCACGATGTAATAGGACAGTTTCATTTACTTGGTACACATTTACTGTTTATGTCAGCTAAGTGTATGCCTGCAATGTCAAAAATCGTAGACTAAGATCTTTTCAGTCTGAAATCAATGTTAGTCCTGAATACACTGACAACTCCCTTTCAACATTTGCAAATGGTTGTTCTAACTGTACAAACAGTATAACCCGTTGCATGCGTTATTATGATATGGATGTTTACTGTTAGATCATCAATTTCGGAAAGGAAATGCATTATCTATTTCTTTAATTTCAAATATCTTTCACCTAATCAAAGATGATAAAGGTAAAGGAATTAGTCAATAGCATGTCATATGTTGCAATCCTTTTCAGAATTATTCAAAACAAGGAGATATGTATAAGAATATACTGTAAAATTTGCAATGTATTCAGAGCAAAAAAATAAAATGCTTGTAGCAGCAATAGATATTGGAACAACATTTTCCGCTTGTGCATATTCCTTACAAATTGATTTTGAAACGGATTCAATGCACATTCATACCAATACATGGACAAGTATTTCAAGAGCTTTGATGTCGATCAAGGTACCGACTGCTGTTCTGCTGGACAAATCCCAAAAGTTCCTGGCATTTGGATACGATGCTGAAGAACAGTACTCGGAGCTTGTTTTAGACGAGGAACATCATGATTATTATTACTTTTGTGGGTTTAAGATGTTGCGACACGAACTAAAGGTAAATTTTTACCTATTTTTATCATCTTGATTTTACTTTGATTTTCATATATTTTTATATCAGCGAAAATTTCATAAACATTAAATTATTTTTATTGCAAAGAGTTATAAAATAAAGGTAATTGTTTAAAATAGTAGAACAGTTTGATGAAGATATTATGACATATATTTGTGAGTGACGTTCGTTATTCGTTTATCAACATATTTATTAACCAGCACACAGTACAGACGATGATCAAAGATGATAATGGTATAGAAATGCCAGCTCTAGAAATCTTTTCCTTGGTTATCAAAAATCTAAAGGGTCATTTGTTAGAATCTTTTAAATCAGTTGAAACTGGGATAGTCAATGACGACATTCATTGGGTTTTAACAGTACCAGCTATTTGGACAGAGTCTGGTAAACAGTTTATGAGAGAAGCTGCAAACAAGGTAACTTGAAGCTGTAAAAGGATGTTTGTTTTTATCAACTTAATATATTCAATAATCAGCGGGGTCAGCATAATTCATTAAGTTATTTTATACATGCATATAACTAACTGCTACACTGTAATTGCTGTGTTTGACGAAAGTACCAAACACGAATTGACACACGAAAAATATGCAAATTAAAATAAACGAAAGTGCAATGTTCCTACCTTCAAGCTGACATAGATCAAGATGCCTAGTTCTATCTTTGAAACTCGGCCATTGTTGATTTAGTTTATAAGTTATATTTTTTAAGTTATATAATACAAAGTAATATATGAAGGGTATTAAAGACACTTCGTTATTTGTGACTAGTGAAATTACACCAGAATATACCAATGAGTGGTTGTCGTTGATTAATGTCTGTCATGTTTCTTTTTTGGTAAATTGAATTGTTATGAATTAGGGGAACCTGGGGTAACTCGCCACTATAAGAACTATTCAAGCTACTGTATCGTCCCCTCGCAACTTTTGTGAAACGTTTTCATGTGATACTTAAGTGTATTCAGTTTTCTCCAAATACCAATAACAATTGTATGTTTATATTCAATAATATGAGCATGAACGTGTATGACTTTTCACATCTTATGTGGCGAGTTACCCCATTGATTTGGGGTAACTCGCCACCATATTTCGTATTGTTACCTTAGCTTGTTGGTCTTGAGTGACAGTTATTTCAAAGCATATTTAAACAAAATATATCACTGATATTCAAAGTTCACTGTTAAAAAAAGTCAATTGAATAGGTGGAGGGTTAGCCTTCAAACTACTTTAACCCCGCCACATTCTGTATGTGTCTGTCCCAAGTCAGGAGCCTTTATACAGTGGTTGTCGTTTGTTACATATTTTTTTCGTTCATTATTTTGTACATAAATCAGGCCGTTAGTTTTCTCGTTTGAATTGTTTTACATTTGTAATTTCGGAACCTTTTATACCTGACAATGCGGTATGGGGTTTGCTAATTGTTGAAGGCCGTACGGTGACCTAAAGTTGTTAATTTGTAGGTCATTTGGTCACTTGTGGAGAGTTGTCTCATAGGCAATCATGCCACATCTTCTTTTTTTAAATAATTGGAGGATATTTATAGGTTTATTGTAAATGAAATTCTTCTCAATATGCCATTGAAATTTGTATTGTTAAACTACACTCAATCAAACAAAACCATGGTATTTTATCATGAAAAAACGATTGTTACTCTCGTTTGGTACAGTTTGGTTCAGTGCTTTCTACACTTGAATTGTCTCAAATTATTTCCAAATTTTCCTGTACAGGACTCGTGGTACCAGTCTTGGCATTTTGTGCATTTAATCCAGTCCTCATCGTCACTGTAGTCGTTAAAATAGTAACCGTCGCAAAATGCACAATATAAGCTACTATCTTTTTCGTTGTCTTTGTCATCTGCGCTTTCTTTTTCAAGAGGTGCCTTTTTAGATTTTTTTGCACTAGTTGTCTTATTCGTTGTTCGTTCAGAACGTTTTGGATTTGTTAGCAAATTATTTTGTTTTTCTTTTTTCTTCTCATCTCGATTGCGTCATTTTTCTTCCTTTTCCGTTTCCTTCTGTTCCTTCATTTTTATTTTCTCTTTCATTTCGATGAGGTAGTTCGTGTCAGTTAACAGCCTTGCTGTTGTTATTCTTTTAGTTTTTTTTCTTTGGTTGAGTTTTCTTCACTTCCGGAATTACTAAAATTTCATCAAAATTCTCCCCTTCAGAGTTAGTATACGTAACTGTTTTTACTGTCATTTCTGCTTGGTTTCTAATAGCGTCGATCACTGGATATGCTGGACGATCGGGTACTGCATGAACATCAGCGACCACAGCGATGGTGTTTATCTGTGTTTCTGCAAATTCATTTGGGGTAGATTGTGGCGTTTCAACCATCGTTGTACTATGGTCTGTATTTTCACTTTCTGGTATGTCCTCCGTTTGTGGTGACGTGGTATCTAGTACAGATGTTTGAGACGGTTCATACGCTTCTGCTGGTATGACTCTTTGATTAAAGGGATAAATTTCAGTAGAACGAAAACCGCTTAAAATCTTAACCATATTCATTGAAGACTGAAATACGGTATTAAATAGTCCACAAAAGTCATACCTTGTTACTTGTCTACTTGGATGGTCTCTCATAAATTTCTGACATTGTTTGTTGTAACTTGCATTGTCTTCATTGGTCCGAAAATAGATCTGTGTATAGGCTGTAGCCAGTGTGTTGTATGTGGGAGGGGGGGGGGGGGACAAAACATATCAATCTGGTTCTGTTTTGTTTTCTCTAAAGTATCAAAATTCAGGTGTGATGAATAACCATCAAGTATCAAAAGAACGGTCCTGGCTGGTGGCAATTTTTTCAAGAAGATGTTGGTGAACCACTTGTCAAATAAATCACTGTCTATAAATTAGGATTTGTTACATACAAATTCTGAGCCAGGTGTTGCGTTTCCTTCCAGAGCTTCACTTACCCGCTGCCCTTTAAAGATTATCATAGGCGGTAAAACCCGTGCCTCAGCATTGACGCAACAGAGTATTGTTATATTTTCACCCCTTTCTCCGCTTGTTTTTGCATATACCCCTCTTTTCCCTCTTTGTACGCAAGTAAAACACTTGGTTCTCATTGAAATAATTGATTACCATTACACCATGACGTCACAAGTCACAAAAATGGCGGAGCTTTCAGCAAATCATGACCACGGTTGAATGAAGTTTTCTAAATTATCTCACCACACAGGAGTAGAATGTTGCATATTTAAATAAATACAAACCATATCATTTTATTTATGCCATTTTTGTTTTAATATTATATATATTTTGTTCAAAAAATGTGATATTGGTGCCATCCCCCTTTTACGGGAATATCTGAGACTGTGATCCATAAGCACGTGAAATTAGATTAAAAATTGAAAGATTTTATTTTCATAGCTTGCCATAAATCTTATGTTTGACATGTGCTTACACTGTTTTTGTGTTTTGACACAATTTTTCAAAACTTGGAGTATTTAACTTTCAGTAATCAATCCGGAACTACGCCGTTTCAACATTCTAGGGAGTAAATATGCGGTTCCAAAATATGCTGAAATGTGGCGCATTATTCTGTCTTACTATTTTTCCAAAGAATAAAATGCACTTACCTGTGAAAGTTTCTACTTTCAATATCTCAAATGAGCTTGATGACGAAAGAGACGCGATGACGTAAATGACGGATGTTGTAACGTTTAGACTTAATCAACTTTATACAAAGAGAGACAACTCATATATAAATAAATGACAGAGATGTAAAAGGTGGCGAGTTACCCCACTTTCCCCTAGACCGTTAGTTTTCTCATTTAAATTGTTTCACATTTTTCTTGTCAAAGACTTTTATACAGCAGGATTGTTTTCTCAAACAGTCACCTATAATTAATTACTTACACATATTTTGACCTATCGTTGGTAGTTGTCTTAGTGGCAATCATAACACACATCCTTATTTGTATACAGGACGCTTGTATGGTAATTATTGTTAAACCTTTTATCTTATTGGTTGAAAGATAATTCAAAAACGTCCTGCAACAATTTCAACATGCATGTTCAGGACGATAACATGCTAATGATATATGACCATCCCCTGATTTATACTCTACCAACACACTGAGTAAGATTTTCAACGTGCTAACTCACACAGAAAGACATATGTGTACCCTACTCAGACGTAGTTTTTGAACCCCGAACAAATATTACCTCTTTCACTAATTTTAAAATACCATTTGATAAGGGAATGCATAGCAAATTCTTTTGTTTGAATCAGTCAGCAATCGAATTCATGACATACCGTTCTCCACGAAAGTACGTTACCACGATTAGTTATTCTAAGGAAGGTTGCCATATCAAGGTCCAAAAACACAACCAGAATCGGAGTTGACTTCTGGTAAGAAAAGCAAGAAAAAGTGTAAACAATCCTGTACAAAAGATCTATTGCACACTAAGAGGATACGTTTGCTGTAGTTGTCAATATAATTGGCTTTTACTGAAATCGATCATGTGAAAGAGAGAGAGAAAAAATACTTGAAAATGAGAGGCATTCAATATCTTTTAAGATAAATACAATTCACTGAACCGTAATAACATAATCAGTCACTCGACACTCGTCAGTTGTGCTGGCGTAAATATATCAATAAATGTTGACGTTAACTTTCAAAAAAATCGGTAACGAAGTGTTTCTATTATTTTATAGAGCTTGTTGTCAGCTTCTATGTCAAAAACCGTTTAGTTTTGTAATAACATTCATATCATTTTACTGATTTAGGCTGGTATTAGTGGTGAACATCTGAGTTTATGTTTGAAACCAGATGCAGCAACCTTACTCTGTCAGCATTTACTAACTGACAAAATTCAGGATGAGGATGTTGTAGGAAATGCATGTACATCATCTGAAAAAGGCGCCACATTCATGGTACTTGACTTGGGGGGTAAGTAAGATGAAAGATAAATATGCAGGATTTGCTTCATTAGAAAAAAAATGAAATGATTTAATTAATGAATGATCAGAACCAACAGTTTTGAAAATAATATCAAATACTTTAATTTACTACGGTCTATTGAATGTAATTCTACTAAGTCTTATCAACTAAGAATGTTTATATTATCAATCGTGAATTTTTAATTTTGGCTTGTGCGAATCCCAGGTTAAATCTTCTACTAAGTACTAGTATAGTACGTACTATAACTCTTAATAATGTGTGTCATTAACTTATGCTGTTGATATATAATAATCTGGAGTATTAAAGAAAATTCCATCTGGAACACATTAAGTACAAAAGCAGGCGGCACATGCACTTTTCTTTCCTTGCAGTGCTATATATAAACTGATATTTGTTTTAATGCAGATGAAACAGCTGAGATAACATGCCATCAGAAGGACGCAGATGGTACCCTTCTACAACTACAGACACCGAGTGGTGGTCCATGGGTTGGTCCAAGTGTAGATAGAGCTTTCAATCAGCTTCTTATTAAGATAGTTGGGGCACCTCATTTAAGAAAATTTCAAAAGGAAAACAAGTTTAAAGCTGAAGAATTGTTAATAGATTTTAAAATGAAGAGTACGAAAATTACAAATGAAAGCATTGAAAGGGTCACGTTAAGACTCCCCGTTTCACTACTTGAGTCATTTGAAAAAGACACGGAAGAGAAAATTCAAGATGTATTAAAACAGACGGCATATGAAGACAAAATGACTTGGTGCGGAGACAAGTTAAGAATGGAAGCCAATTTTTTCCGTGCATTGTTCAATGAAGCTAAGTCTAATTTGATAGAGCACGTGAAGTCCTTATTGACTAAAAGTCATTTAAAAGATGTTAGCACACTATTAATGGTCGGAAGTTTTTCAGAGTCTCTCATAATGCAGTCGGCTGTGAAAGATGCATATCCAGGTATGACAGTCTTCGTTCCACCTGAACCTGGCATAGCTGTGTTGAAAGGTGCCGTTATATATGGGCATCGGATAATAGCTCGATTACCGAAAAAAGAAATCAATTAATAATCGATCACTAGAAAGATTGTTGTGTAACCAATAACAAATCGATTACTCCGAATTTATTTTGTATGTAATTGATAAGAGTCGATAATTTTATACAAATCATTACTTTTTCGATTTTGCGATTACTGTCAATTGCATGCTACAATATACAACAAAATAAAAAGGAAATTAAACACAAGTATGCTGATCAACGTATTAAAAGTGGAAATCTAAAACTCAACAAAAACATCAAAAGCTTTTTCTATAAATGTTATGTTGACAGTTGTTTCTAGATACAAACTCTTAAAACGCACCGAACCATTTTAAAATTTCACCAAGATAGAGTGGTGATAGAGTGCATGCAATGACATGCACTATTGCATCAACCACTTACTTTATTTGAAGCCATTTGCTCTATTTTTTTTAACATTTTTGCTGACATACTTCTATACGTTTTATGGTTCATTTATACTCATTATTGACAGTTATATTTAAATATAGTTCATTACAATGTTTTCTCTGAACAAAATATATATAAAGGGTAAAATTATTTGTTCAGCTAATTTTATAGATAGAAATAGCTAGTTTCTAATGTCGTGCATGGAGTCATTTTTTTTGTTTTGATAATCTCCTTAATTTTATGTTATACAAATAACAATTTGCCAATGGATTGAGATGTACAAATACAGGCGTTTAATGTAAAACCCCACACATGAGGCATAAATGAAATCATGTAATAATATCATTGATTAAATGTTTTAGATCATATAATCCCTACAGACAAGAAGGCAGTTGTAAATTCTGTATTCTCTTTTTATATTGATATTAATGTTTCTAGTGTCAAGATGTAAAACATATATAAATCTATTACTTAACACCAATTTCAATGCAATTGTTCATTGTCAAGAGTGTTTCATATATCCCTTTCTAATCTTTATACCCTTACTTTATTATTAATCAACTGTAAATCTATTCTAGTCTGAAACTCCAACTATTATTGAAAATTATTCTTTAAGAAATATTCAAACATCGAGCTTTTAACTTCATTGTACCAATATATGTAGTACCGACCGTTACTTTAGTCTTTTTTCGTATTTCTTTTGTATATAATATTTCAAGTATTGTCGAGAATATACAGTTATTTGTTTCAATAGCTTAAAATACAGTAAGATTTGTAAGGAAATCATGTTAACATTAGGCACCATGCCACAACAACAGATCTGAATCAGCTTAACACATTTGATGGAACTCTCTTGTTTACGAAATTGTCAAACTGTTACTGAGAGCTTTTATATACTTCCGTGATGGTGCCTGTTATTGTAGATCGCAAGTATATCCTTAATTGTCTCCATATGCCATGATAGTGGTTCTAGAGACCTTATAACTTTAAAGACACGTGGGCTTACAGTCTGTTTTTGATTCTTTGATTCATATACGAATGTTAATTTGACACAGCTGAACAAACTATTTCAAGGGAACAGGTAAAATAATATTTAGATTGAACAGAAAAATATTTCTATTTAAATGAATTTATCGCTGGAAAAGTTATACTTTGTTCTGTTCTTTTTTTTTGACGTATCCTTGCAAACTATGTATAGTGTATGTACGGTGAATTATCGGCATTCAAGTAACTAAGGAGCTCTAGAATGTCGTTGAAAACTGTTTCCACTTCACAGCTGGAAATATACATTTGTTTCTTTGCATACAACTAAACGTAAAAAATAGAAATATCTATGAAAAATAACGTCTGCACAGTAGCTGTTCTAATATGGAAAACGAGCAAAACGAAATGATAACTGATAAGGAGAAGGGGTAGTCTGTAAGAATTTAGACTGGTACTTTTTATGATTATATTCTCTTTACTACTTAGATATAAGAAGATGTGGTATGAGTGCCAATGAGACAACTCTCCATCCAAGTCACAATTTGTAAAAGTAAAACATTATAGGTCAAAGTACTGTTTGGATGAGGACAATTGCTGGATTGATTGAATTTTGATTTTATGGAGAATACTAAAACAATTTAAAAACATATCCAGTATCTACAGTATAAGTAAATGTATATGTGAATTTAAAACCACCAATAAGTAAATGTTGAAGAATCATCAGAAATTAATTGCTATTTGTGAGAGTGGTCGAGACAATAACTGTGTTCCACAATACGAATTATTACAACGGGTTGAAAGATCCACAGGCGGCCTGTTGCAAAACAATATTTCTGTCTCTATCCAAGATATCCTCAAAGGACACATGTGTACGACACATGTGTTTACATAATACTTGGTCTTGTTCGAAGTCGGAAGCTACAGGTGTCAGGGCACATGAGGGTGTTTGATAATCTGTATTTGTTTTTGGTTTGTTGTTTTGTACATTAAAGGCCGGGTTTTTTTTTCATTTCAGATGTTCAATATTTTGTACCATCGGGGGATCTTATAGCTTGCTATGCATGCAGTATGGGTTTTGCTCACTGTTGGTGGCAATACGATAATCTATAGTTGCTAAGATCTACGTCATTTGGATTCTAGCGGATTGTTGTCTCATTAGAATTCATACCGCATCTACTTATTTTATATCAATTCAGAACATTTACATATTGAAAACTGATGATTATGAGACTTTTACAAAATAACCATTGATTTTTTAGATGAAAAACAAAAGGGCCAAAACATTTCAAAATTTCCGCGCTGAATAAAAAAGGAACATTAATCACCTCAATGTTGGGCAGAAGATACCACCCATGAAAAGTAACATAATATTCCTCAAGTGATCAATACCGGTCGAATTTACAAGTTGGTCGGTAATATCTGTTGAAGTAAAGCACGGTAAATAGAGGGAAATATTCACTCTTAATGTTTTTCCATGAAAACTCTGCTTATTTAAAGGAATGATATTGATATCTTTTTATTAATTTTGAAGATTAAAAATAACTTATCAACTCCTTAAAAGTTAGTTATTGCATACTTTACATATATATATGAAATATCTATATTAATCCTTTGACCATTAGATATTCATGATATTTTCATTTGAAACAGTATTGATTATTAGAGTGGATTAATGCAGTCTCTTGATACGTTTCCCATGGCCAAGTATGCTAGGTATGAAAATTTTATTTCTAAAACAACAACCCCACGTTAATGTTGATATCACAAGAGGAAAGGTGATTACATTTATATTTGATGTCTCCGTACAGCAATAGTATTTCTTGTCTATTTAGCTGTGAGAAAAACATTTTATAAATGCAGAAAATAGAAAGGTTGATATGTCTACGTGGTATGTTTGGTTTCTAATCATTCAAAAATACCTTTTAAAGCATACATTTTACGTAAAAAGGTCGTATGTAACAATAACACCTAGTAAGATTAAAACCGTATCTTTAACGACGTCGCACTTTTGAAATAGGAAGAGGCAGCTGAAATATTGGGTACCACACACTTTTCTTATTATTTAGACTATTTGTTACTGATTGATTTTCAGAAAAATAAAAAAAAAAAAAAAAAAAATCATGTCACGCCTCCTCTAAATTGGACAAGTAAAACTCCCATTGAAGTACGCAGACTATGAGGTTTTTGAACGTTTAGTTCTATCTATGAAGAACATACATTATTACATGTATGTATATTTTCAAAATGAACATGATGAAGACATAAAAACCTTATTCATGTTATTATTTCGTCGACGTAAAATTGGCGCAAAAATTACCAGAGGCAAAAAAAAAAAAAAACTAACAAAAGAGAGAGTAAAATCATTATTAAAAGGAAATCACTTATATCTATTATTTTTTTCGGCAGATTTTTGAAGATGATTGGTAAAAACGTCAAAAAATGATAAACAATTGTCATTAAAGAACAGTAACGTCATTCGTCAGTGGACTGAAGGATTCGTCCATTAGACCTAGTTAGATCTGGTCTTGTTGATCACTTTTGCTGTTTAAGGTTTCTATCTTTCTATCATAGTTTTCAAGATGTTAGGCAAAAAAGTACTAGTAGTAAAATTCGTCATTTTAGGACAGTGTTGACGTTAAAAGGTACAGCTAAACATTCTAAACATTTCTGCCCCTGTCAGATTTTCTCTATTTATAGTAGATTTAAAAATAATAGTCAACACTTACATTTTACCCCTATGTTCTATTTTAAGTCTTATCGGCTATCTTGGTTGACAGGCAATTCCATCGGACACATTTGTCAAACCAAATGATGATTGTGGACAAGGTTGGTTAACTTTGATTTAGTTTCTTCAGAGGAGGTGATCTTTTTAAAAAATAACGGACGACGAACGACGGACGACGACAGACGACTGCACGATGCTAAGCGATGGGAAAAGCTCAGATGTCACTTTGGGCCACGTGAGCTTAAAAAATATTCTCAAGTTATTGTTTGTCGTTTGGTCGTTTTTACCCCCATGGCTTTGACATATGACTTTGAAAATCCTTTTGGCATCTTCCACTTTTTTCAAATGAGTGTAAATGTATAAACAAGTGTTGTGCCTACACCGAGTAAATCGCGTGGAAAAAAGATTCATTCAGGGGAGAAAAGAATGCTGTAACAATTATTCTTTTTTATTTCATAAGATGTTGTTATTGTTAAGTTAAATGATACACGTAACAATCATTTGAATGCGTTAATAAATGTTCGAAATCAAGCTTTTACAAGGTCTCATATGAGCATTACTTTTGTTTATTCGCATATATATAAGGGTTACTCATAAAACAGACCCGATGGGAGTGCACATATATACATGTCCACCATGCAAAGCTATAGTGTTTCATTCTCCAATATTAATCTAACTGGCGAATTGAATCTCTTTAAGAGCCATACTTCATTTACAAAATCAAAACTTTAGAATCAAACAAATGGAATGACCCATATTCGATGTTAAAACACAAACGTTTACATAAGTGTATTTGTTTGAATTGTTTTACGTTTATCATTTCGGGGCTATTTATAGCTGACTATACGGTATGGGTTTTGCTAATTGTTGAAGCCATTCGGTGACCTATAGTTGTTAACTTCTATGTTATTTGAGCTCTGGTGGAGAGTTTTCCAATCGGCAATCATATTTTATCTTGTTATTTTTATATTGATTACGAAACACTTGACAGAGTTAGGTATCAGAGATATATAAACAATGTACGATCATTGTCGGAAACTATAATGAAACATGAAATATACCAGGCTTATAGTTTGGTATGCCTGACGGACGAACGTTTCGTATACAGAAGGATCATCAGCGACGTTTGTATCAAAATAGTTGAAAGGCCAAATCAAATACGAATGAAGAGAGTTGAAAAACAAAAATTCCGGAACGTTTAACCAAATAGGGCAAAGGCAATCTAAGTCTTCGAACAAACAAACCTTAGTGTTTGGAATAGTTCAACTTTTTGTAGACAGTAAATTTATCGAAAATGAACATATCGTGGATATTTCATGTCAACACAAAAGTGCTATATGTAACTGCAGGTAGACTTCCTACAGCAGTGACATCGATCCAGTGGTTGTAAAACTCATCAAAGATACCAGGCTTATAATTTGGTACGACAGACGCGCATTTCGTCTACATAAGACTCATCCACTACGCTCGAATTAAAGCACTGTAAATGCATTAGATACCTGTTAAGGCAATCTATATAAAGGCAACCTATACAAACATTATTTGGACGAGCTCCACAGTGCCTTTCTACCATTTTGTAGAGAGCACAAATACGGTTTTTATTTCAGCATCATAAGTTTATTGTACTTATTTTGAAAGCCTGCTTTCGAAGAATTAACAAAATTTGAAAATTGAGATAACGCTCATAAAATTATGACAGCTAATAAAATAAATAATAAAAAAAAAACCATAAGTACTCGACGTTAACATGGTTACAATGGTTAAGCTACGATATTTAGTTCATTTTTTGTGGTATACTTTTGGCGTGGCTCAATACTTATACATCCCGCCATTATGTTATTGTGCTATGGTCAATTTTGTATTCTTGTCTTTCATTTTTGCTTATTTTGCTTTTTTGTCTATAGAGTGTTTATATTACATTTTTTTTTTCTTTGTTGAAACAGTTATTTGTTTTATAGTAATTTAGATTATATGACAATGTTGAATGCTGTACCCCAATTTTTGACATTTTTACCTGTTATGTCTGTTTGTTTTGCTCACATACTGTTGTCAATATAATGGAATTCTATGCGACTGTCATACCAGTGTGAGGTTTAGCTACCTATAAAACCATGTTTAATCCACCATTTTTTACATAAGGAAATACCTGTACCAAGTCAGGAATATGACAGTTGTATTTCATTCGTTTGATGTGTTTGAGCTTTTGATTTTGTCATTTTATATAAAGGACTTTCCGTTTAGAATTTCCCTCGGAGTTCATTATTTTTGTTATTTTACTTTTTACTTTCCCATCTGTATCAGATATTAGGTTATGCAATCTAAATTAAAACAAATAGAAGCAAGTAACTAGCACTTAAGATACAGTTACAGGGTAGGTAATGACGTCGCTAACATAAAATGTTATTTTTCGCGACTTCAAACTGTGACATATCGGGAAAAGATGCATTTTTTGACTGTTTTTAATCATTCAGACTGATTTAACTTGAAAACAAGTTCATGGACCCCTCTTTTTGAAAATGACATTTTGCTTGATTATGTGTTAAGATTATTTGTGCCAATTTTTATGAATAAGTCACCGATGAAAATTTTTTTAATAAGATAAATATACAACAAGAAATGCCGTTTTTTGACTAAAACCAGAAAAAATGTGATAAAAATAAATTATTTCCAAAGAATTAAATAAAGCAAACTTATGTAGTGAAGATATTCCAAATGTTTTACAAAAATCTGCTTGCGTTTTTCTTTTAAAACAAAAAAGGTAGGTATGTCTTTTCAAAGGAAAGAAATGTCCAAGAATCCAAAATTTCCATTAATGTCCAAAATGTATACCCCATTTATCTCTAAAATTAGCACATGAAGGTATTTTCATTCTTCATATTTGAATTGACTAAGTGAAAAATAGCTGGTATGCAAACTGTCGTCAAAATTCACCGTGGGATCAAAACTGTATCGTATGTCCTTAATAGACGTGAGATAAAAAGACAAAAACAAACATTACAGGACAGACTTTTAATAGAATAATGAAGGAGAACAACAATTTGAGATCAATAGCAAATTCACATATATGGGTCAATATCCCTAATGCGCCTCGAAATGAGGAACTCAAAAGTTGTGTGTAAACAAAAAATCTCTGTGTAGTGATATTTGACACGTTTCTATGATAAACAAGTGACTGAACTTAACCATTTGTGTTGATTTAGAAAGTAGGGGAACATAGAATAAATGTGTAAAAACTATGGAGCTATTAAATGTGTTCAAAATATTAAATTTTCAAAGAACTTATTGTGTTAAAAAAGGGATTTTTTACCACGAGGAGCCGCATCACGAAAGGATTTTCGGGGTTTGCTAATTTAAGGAAAAAGTAATCTCACTTCGTACCCCAAAAATTTAACCACATATGTGAAAATGTCTCAGCTTCAAAACGAGCCATCATACATATCCAAGTTAACGATATGGACTGAGCAACAGAAGAAAACGTTGCCATTACCGCCTATGGAGAAACAATTGCGAACATTGACCCATATCAATAAACGCGTCCTTTTTTGCAATCTGTTGTAACTGTCATATTTCATTAGTTTGGTGATATATTTAATAACAATACTACGTCCACGATACCTTCTTTGCTGGCTATACAATTATTACATTCCTTAAATTTTCTTAAATTTTGATTGTCTCCACAGACATTACAAATACAGTTATATTATAATATCGATGACTTAACAAGATGTTCATATATTACAATGAACACATTAACATAAGTCTCTTTGCGGCAGGAGTACCGGATGGAGTATTGTGTAATTCAACAGATTTTAAGAACGTTTGACGTGCAGATTCAGTGTCGCAGAACATCTGAAAAGCAACACCCAGAAGACTATAGGCTGCAGCTTCTGATTTTAAATTTGTTACCATTAAATATTTTTCTTCTATAACAAGTTGTAGAACTTGGATGGTATCCTGACACGCTCTGATATCATTGAGATGATAATGACAAAGAAACTTAAGAAAATAAGCATACACCGAAGATGAAATGGAAAACGATCTGTTTTCCACTTCTAAAAGTAGTTCTTCTGGTATTAACATGGATTTCAGTTTAAATGACATTTCATCTATGAACATTAATTTCCACAAATGAACAATACTCTTTTTCTGGAGCGATTTTAGTTTCAACAATTGATTATGAATATCCGACAACTCCATGGTGTAAAACAACTTTTTTAAAGTACATTTCGACAAAGAATACTTAAGGATGTGTAAAGCTTTGGTGTGCTCTTTTGTATTATAGAAAAACGAAGCTAACATCAGCCATCCAGATACAGAGTCATGATATATATTCTTTAGAAGATTACAAAGACATGATTTGTACAGTCGTAATTGGTATTCATTATTACTGTATGCAATGTTAAGTGGAATATAATGTGCACGATTGGAACAGATCATTGACGTGTAATATATATATAAGTATTTTATCAAAGATTTGTCAAATGAAACTGCCTTTTGTATTAGTGTTTTTAATAAAGAACTACAAAGTACTTTATCCCAGTTGAAACATAAAAGGAAAGACGTATCAGCGGACCACAATAGATAGGCTTTAGTTGCTTTTTCAACTTTATGTACATACGATCGCTGTTGTTCCATGTTAAAATATCGCACTGATGCAGGAAAATTTGATACTTGATCAGAAAATAAAATGCATCGCCAACCGTAATTATGCAAGGTATATAGTTTTTCTAATAGTATTTTACGAGGACGGCCCTCAATTTTATTCTTAAACATATTGTTCTCTGGAATGAAGTAATGCAAACAAACTGAATACTCAACACAATAGATAAGTCTTTTAAAGCATTGCATAAAACAAGGTATAAGTGTGTCAGGTCTCCATGCTGATTGTGGCAGTTCTTCAGAGATCCAAAAAATAATTGTTTTTAGGAAATAAGAGCAGAGTAATTCTTTACATTCGGAGAAAGTAGCTATAACGTCTTTCAAAAGAATCTTTATAAGAGCATAGCATAATAATTGAGTGTGTGTAAAGGTATTTATTAAAAGTTGTTCACCGATTGAAAATGAAATTCGCCATTCTAGATCCTCTTTTGATGACCCCTTTACTCCGATTGGTACAAAAAAATACTCCATGTCTTATGCTACTTTGTTTGACATCATAACTTGGCCATGAGTTATTAGATCTTGCTATCCAATGTCTTGCAGGTTGCACCCAAGTTTTACAATGAAAGCATTCGACAAAGTCAGTTAATCCATGTTTGTCAGATAATCACGGTCTATGAATAGTTGAATTAGTATTCCCTTTCATTAAGTGCTGTTTCCATAATGTACTTGAGAGATAATGCTTATTAGCGAACTGTGCACAGTTCTCAAATAAAGTCTGATCACTGGTATATTCTAGTCTCAACTGAGAAAATCCAGGTTTTACATCGTCTGTATCCATTGACAGATATGATATATTTGGATGGAAACGAGGCTTCATATCATAAACCTCAATATTTTTCTGAACAAACATAATATCTAAATCACTGCCTCGCATCTGAATTGAAGTCCTTCACCAAAACTTCCACTTGCTATTACTATTCTATTCCCGCCAATTGACAAACTATCCCTGGTAGCGTTTGGCAACCTGATGTGTTTAACGTGCTCTTCTGTCCCTACTATATTTTGACACATATAGAAATATAGTTCTCTTGACACATTTTGTGTTATGTGGTCTGTAATAAACACGTTGACATCATTAGAATAAGCGCAAACTAAATAATAGTATACATGTAAAGTATTTTACATGAAATGAAAATCAAATATACATGCTATTACAAGTAAAGTTTAGATCATTAGTCATGGACGATTTTGAGAGTAACAGGTATATTGCCCCAATATTGTCGTAGTCTAGTGTGATCTTAATGACAAACTTTAAAATGAAATATAATATGGCAGAAAAGGTCATAACGATGGACTCTTCAAATAAGAATATTTATGGAATCTTTACTATGATTTATATTTTAACCCATGGAAACATATCGTTTTAGAAGTTTCATGAAAATTTATTCTACCTACATGAAAGCTGGTATTTGTATATTGTAACATTCTTTTATACAGTTGCACATGTAGGTAGAATGCTTTGGATTTCCCAGCGACATACCTCTTTGAGCGTAAAAAATATTGGCCCTTTCAAATACCTACCTGATCATTAAAAATCATTTACATGTCTTTGATTGATCATATCATCGTGATGTGAGTATATCATTAGATCATAATATACAAATTTGCATGTTGGTAGTATAATAACGACCAACGATCATGAGTTTTCCATAGTATTGCCCAATGAATTTAAGAAAATTATGGCCCTCTCCAGCTACTACCTTGTCATGGTAACATCTCAAAGATAGTTCAAAATATCTATGTTAAACTATAATATTGATACATTCTGGTGTGCAAATGTACATGTATGTCTAACATAGGACGAGAACAAGAAAATGTTATCCCTTGTATTTCAGTCGTTTGCATACAAAACGCTTGAACCAGGATGTTCAGGTTTTACCTCCTCATGGCGGGCGGTTCCAATGACACCTAGCCATATTAGTTTCCTATTTCGTTCTTACAATGCTGTATGGATGTAAAAGTGTTACTCTATTCATTTTAAACATACCAACGTTATTAAAGGGGAATTAGCTACGAGATAAAACAAAAAATTAAAATATGATTTTTTTTTTAGTTCAATCATATATGAAAGTGAAATAGTGAAATAAAAATTCGCTTTAAGCAGACAGTTGGGTTCAATTTTGTCAAAATAAGATAAGAAACATCGCTGATGAATTATTCATTTGCAAGTGAATAATTCGACTTCATTTAATCCGTATTCATGTAACCTTCAATTTTACTCCTTAGCTAGAGAGGGGTTACGCATGAATTAGGCGTGTTCAGTTATTGAAAAGAATGTCAACATTGAAAGTGAAACAAGCGTAAACACTTTGATTGACTGATTCGATCCACAAAAAAACTCATTCTAATACAGGTAAACACGATGATTAACATATATTTTTAACCTATAATATGAAATCCAACAGACCAAGAAAAATCCGATTGCACGAGTTCGCTATCTATTTATATCTCTATTCATGTTAATATCGAATTATATGACCGTCGACAGTCTTGGGCGGTCGCCTCGATTGTTAACTAGATGGCTTCTAGACTAAAATACACACGAAATGTTGATACAAAGTATCGAGCGCATGCACTGAAAATTGTTTATTTCATACTTTTTTATAATGTGGACATACGTTTTAGTATGTTATAAATCAAATATGAGAATTTGAGTCAAATCGGTGAACATGGATTTGACAGCTAATGTCCCTTTAAAAAAATATCTAAAAATTACTTATTGGTCATTCTATGAACATGATGAAGACTTTGCAAAACATTTTCTGTTCATTTGTATTTTTTTTCAAAACCAGTTTTTTTTTTTTTTTCAATTTGGGGTGGGGGTGACAAATATGTAAAACAATGTAGTGGTTTTACAGGTAATTTGAGGTACCTGACAAATACAACTTTATTTGAATATTACAAATGATGCCAGTATAATATAATATGTTCATTCTTATCCTCGGCATAAAAGATGCCAATACACATCGTAACTAGGGTGCACTTTATCTGATATTATATTACCATTGTAACCATATGTTACATTTAGTATCAACGGCACTATTAAGTTCTTAAAGATTGAAAAAAAAGTTCCTTGTTCTTTTTTTTTTTGTGTTATCATGGCAACCATATTTAATTTTTTTATCTTAAGATGTCTGTGAGTGTATGCACAAAAAAGTCAGTTTCATTCAGAAAATACATGGATGAGTGTACAAGCATAAAGCACTCCTCTAGATACAAACTTGCCTTTATAAAAACCTTATTTCAGCATGGATGATTATCAAGAATGTATTGATGTATTTAGATATATCTTTTCACGCTACTGTTTATACTCAATATCGTCACCATGCAAATTGTTAAACTTGATTCAACAAAACTTAATTGTAAGGTTCTTTGGAAAATTCTTACTATTAAAAATAAACGCAGTGCAAATGAATAAACAAGGGTCACAAAAGCGTAACAAATATCCTTCCTAACTTCAAACATGATTCCTACAGTCATAAGTGATTTAAAAAAAGTTCATTGTGTGTATTTCTTGTACAAGAAACCTGTAACAAAATATGCCAAGTTTAGCGAATACAATATGAATCGTGTAGAGCAAACACTGGAAAAGGTCATCATTTTCATGTTTTTATTTATTGACTATAATCCCCACTATAAATATTAACTTTTAACTTTCGATTTCAATATTTTATTCTTATTTTTTGTTATCTACTATGTTTATTTGATTCCTTTTAATTTCCATTTTGCCATCTGAAAAAGAGAAATAAATTTGAAATTGAATGAAAACACACTGTTATTTATCACACTGTATGTCTAGAGTTTGTAGCAATATATTTCAAAGTATATTACCTGTCATTGTGTTTAGTAAGTTGATGTTCAATGTGCAAATGGGTATTTCAGCAAAATCTACTTTCGTTTTCATTGACACGTAACCTTATATTTACCGAACGGCATACGATACAGTAATAGGGGAGGTAATGACGTTCCTAACGTAAAATGTTATTTTCGCGACGTCAAACTGTGACATATCGGGAAAAGATGCATTTTTCGACTAATTTTTATAATTCAGACTGGTTTAACTTGAAAACGAGTTCATGGACCCCTCTTTTTTAAAATGACATTTGAATTGATTACGTATGAAGATTATTTGTTACAATTTTTATGAAAAAGTCACCGATGGATTTTTTTTAATTAGATAAATAAACTGCAAAAAATGCCGTTAATTTTCTAAAATCATGAAACTTTGATAAAAAATAATTATTACCATAGGATTTTCATACAAATTTAGAGCATACTTATGTAAAGAAGATTTTCCAAATGTTTTTACAAAAAGCCGCTTGTGTTTGTCTTTTGAAACAAAAAAGTAAGGTATGTCTTTCCAAAGGGTAGAAATGTCTTAAAGACGAAATTTTGAGTAAAAGTCTAAAATTTCGACCTCATTGTTCTCTTAAAGTAGCACATGAAGGTATATTGTTTATAACATATTTAAATTAACTAGGTGAAAAATAGCTTGTATGCAAATTTTCGTAAAAAAAATCACCGTGGGATCAAAACTGTATCGTATGCCCTTAAAACTCTGTCACTATTTTGTTTTGAACGATAAGTCTTTGATCATTGCTTTTTTATGAAACATTCTAGCTGTTGAACAAACTTTCTTCAAATATTACTGGATTTCTGGATACACTAGAGCGAAAAAGGATGAAAGAGAGCGGTAACGTCATTATAAAATATTTAATCATAACTCTTCTCCATAAAACAGAATATCAATTTTAAATTACCAAAACATGTGAATGAAATCGTAGACCCTTGTTTGTTGAATAATAGAAATGGCATTGTCTGCAGTGTGTCGATCTGCATTTGCAAACAACAATTAATAAATACGTCTGCATACATTGATAAACTACCATATTTTCCGAGCATATACAATTGCATTAAAATCGGAATTATATTGTATTGTATACATGAACTCATAGATCTGTTTATTTACGAAATGGCCTAGCTCAACGTATGAAATCGAAACGGACAATCTTGGATACCTTTTTTAACGGTATATTGTGCTTCTGAAAAAAGCAAGATGCATCGGATGCATTTAAATTTTAGTAATTAATTTAGTAACAACATCTAAAATTGCATCTCGGGACGTTTTGGACTGGTCTTTTTAAAACTTTTTTCATGCAAAATAAAAGATTTTTACGTGTTGTTAAGTTGTACAAAATATTTATCTCAATTACTCTTGATCGACAATCAAATGTTGAAAATTCAGTGGTATTTTTCAATATTTTGTAAATGGTCAGAAAAAAAGCTCAATTGTGTGTTCAATCACATGATAACTTGATCATTATCTATTGCTTATCGTTCGATATGACCAAGTTGTGGTGTGATCTGATTTGCTTCGGTCTCATATTTAATTGGTAATGATTCAATATATATGATAACAACACATCTTTTTTCAAATATCTAAATATACCTGCTACCCCCTCCCCCGCAATCAAACCCACTTGCGCAAACAATTGTAACCTCTACCAATCGAAAAAGTCAAACTGCAAAAATCAAAGCATTTGTATGTCTCCAGTGAAGCAGTAACTGCTTACTCTATTTGAACACTTGACCTTGTCCTTCATTCTTCATTTCAATTTTTGCATGACTGTATCTTCAAATGGAAAAGCAAAATCAAAGTGATGGAAATCATCAATGGAAAGATTGGAAGAGTAGTTTGAATAATTTCAAATAATATTTAGGTACGGTGTCGACAAAAAAGAACATTGATAAAGCACTATTGCTGACAATTGCATTAACTGCAGGTCTGTAGAAGGATAAGCACTCTTTCAGTAGATGAAATGAGCTAAATGTGAATCAATGATAGCGGGTCCCTTGATTTGCACTACAATTTCATTTAAATTGCAGTTTATATCTTATCCAAATGTTCCCTGTTACATGTTTCACCGTTTAAATTTTATCTTTTAAAACCAATGAAATTACAAAAAAAAGATTCTTCTAATAAAGTTTACGATTATCCTTGTATGACATAGGACCAACAGATAAACTTGAAGTTAAGAACTTTATTGTGTCAAACAATTAATATTAAAATGTTGTTTTAGGGCATTTTGTAAGTTGAACATATGTATACTATTTTTTCATGATTATATGACACTGTAAATTAAAAGTTGAAGAATGTATTTTTATCAATTTATAATTTAAATATTTTCCAGAAAAGGGCATTGAAAATGTATTTTTTCAACAAGAACAAATTAAAAAACCTATTTTATTGAAATAGGGATTCTTTCTTGATTGCAAAAATAGATACTTCTTATATCCAAATGACTAAAATTATTCACAGACATTTGATGAGAATTAAACTAAAAAATATTTGTTTGTTTTTTATTAAGAGTTTTAACATTTTACTAACTGTTTCAAGCTAATCACTGATAAGTGAACTAATCAAAATTGTTGATTTATTACAATGATGATTATTGCAGATTTATCAAGTAAATTATAGGCGTTACTTGAATATCTTTTATATATTTATCTTTATAATTATATTTCTTATTTTGTCCTTTTAAAAAAAAATCTTAGTTTTTCATTTATCTTTCAGACATAATTAACAGAATCAATTTATGTAGTGTAGATCAAAAGTATGGGCAATGAATAAATCTATCATTTCTATATATCAAAACATCTGATATACTAATATATACATTTGTGTATTCAATTATGTCATCAAATATTTGTGTATTGAGAGTGTATTGAGATGTATAATGAAGGGTCTGTATAATTATGTTAGACAGGTTGATTAGTTATATAGTCAATTTGATTGGCATCTAAGGAGGTGGGGCATTGTAATTAAGGCCCCACCTTGTCTTTGGTTGTTTGACAGTTGCCAATCATACTGTTATTGTATCATTACTCTAAGAGTTATCTAATCAAAATGACAAAAAAGCCTGCACATCACACACACCTTAAAGACTACATACTTAAATGAACTGCTCCAAAAATATACCAAACTTTTTCACAGTTTATATGTGCATATGTACACAAACATGAGAATTATAGGGAATTATATTTCGAAGTGTATACATTTTGTAGATTTAGTAGCTAACATGTGCTACTTGTTGTTAGGGAATTTCCAATCTTTCCAAAAAATGGGCTGCTCTCGGACAGGTAATTAGATCCTGCTCCACATGTTGCACCAGTCGTGTTGCTCGTGTAAGTACAAACCCGATGATAAGTCTAATATGGTAGTTCACATTCAGGGAAAAGGAGGATGGGATTGTATCTACGACGACTAGAACATACCCGTCCTCATCAGCGAAACAGATATTCCATAACGGTCAACCAACTAATGATTACGTCCGTAAAATTTTCAAAGGGATGACTTCAACTTCCCCAATTGGAACTCTTGGTTTAGTGGGTTCCTTGTCAGCAGCAACTTTGTACCAAGGGAATCTTTATGGGAAATGCAAACTCTGGAATATCGTTCATTAATTGTCATGTGTGATATTTTTTATTGTACAAGCTCTTCGAAGTCATGTTAAAAAGTTGTCAAGAACAGCAACTCTGTAGTATTGTTCATGTACATGTATTTTAAAGCCAGTTATTTACATGGTTGAAATATGATAGATTTTACACTTATTCTATAATGACCAGTTTGATAAAAAAAAAATGAATTAAAAATTAACATTATGATTAAAATTGTAAGGTTTTCCTTATTTTATTTAAGGATAAGAAATAATGTCTGATGTTCAATTATTAATTAGTGTTGAATCTGATGTTATTTAATTTTCCAGGGAAATTAATTATTAATTTGTTACAATCAGCATATTATCATCTATATGTGTAGGATATTAAAACTGTTTCAACCTAATTATTGATACACTATAAATATTAACAGCCACGAAAGTTAGAGTTCTTGACATTATTCTTTTGTAAAACAGGTTTTCTGTAGTATTTTATATTATGAAATAATGCAAAAATTTCACTAGGAAGATTATGTTTTATGTTTTTTTTAGGTGGTTTGATATTTTTTTTTTTTTTGTGTTATGGGGTATTTTTGTGTGTGATCTAAGGGGTGTGAGTAATAAACAAGTGTCATTATTGGATCAGAAAATTCTGACTCTTCCAGGCTATCGAGGTTGACACTCAGTTTACAGCTGTGCTCTTAAAAAAATCCATTCATTTTTTTTGGAATTACTGTTCAGTATTTAATTTTCTTGTCATCTTGTCCGTTTATTTTATACTTTTGCTTAAAATTTTCCTTTCATATTCTCAATTTTTATATCATATCTCAAAGCAATTTCAATTTCTTTGTCCCTTACACAGGTTTCCGCTGAATTCTTAAGTTTCCTAATGTCATGTGGTGGTGATACAAATTTTAAGGTGCAGCCATGATAAAGTCCATGGCCTGCAAAATTTATTAGGATGAAAAATTGAATTGGAATGTGTAAAACTACATCATGTGGGCAAGATCTATCAAATAGTTAGGAGCAGTTGTGGGTAAAAAAGTGGAACAGAAGGAAGAGCAACAAAAAGATGAAGATATACTGTAGGAATCAGAAGGGGGTTTAAAGGCGGATATAGAACAGCAATAGTTCATCAAATAAGACATTCTTGTTGTTGCAAAAAGAAAAACAAATAATATAACTTTAAAAATATACTTTATTAAGAAATTTTGATGTACGAAAAAGCAGTAACTACTTCCAAAATGTTTACAGCACAAAAACATGCTTAACAAGTCTGGCAAATATTACCGTCATAAGTACAGTGGCAAGCAAATTTCACTCTAAATGTTGGTGAGAAAAATCCAAACCACTTGCTAGTACAGTACTGGAAACTTTTTACCAGGACAGAATTTACACCTTGCTTTCAACTTTAACTCTCATCCATTATTTACATTATGACATTCTTTCAAGGGGGAAATAACTTAATTTCTTTTATCAAACATTAAGCTGTCCTTAAATAAAATATTTCGAGAAATTTTTTTTTTTTAAAGTTTCGTGACTTCAAAATATAACAGATGGTAAAAATGTCATTTTAGCTTCTTGTCAAATTAAAGATTTCAACAACTAAAATTTATAAATTTTTAAGATGCATTGTACATGTAAATAAACTGACATTTTCTATCGTCTAATGTAAATGATTTCTTTATTCTTAAATTTCATTCTATAACCATTTCACTTTCACTTTCAAGTTTTCTGTACTTTCACTTTTGAAGTGTTTCCAAAATAATCTAATATCTACTTGGTAACAACTAACAGTTATAATATATTAAAATCATCAAAATATGACATCTGCAAAAATAATGTAAATGCTATGTAGTTAATGGCTTGCAAAATGCACAACTGCTTGTATGAAAACTTTTGATGCTGTGACCAGACAATCAGTATCATGACAAGGATCACATGACATTGTATGCTTGCAAGTTTGTGGCAAATCGACTTTCTGATAACATAATAACATTACTCCAAAACAACTTTCGAAGAGTCAAAAACTACATTTATCAAGATTTTTTTTAAATAAATAAAAATGTCTACATTCTTCTTACACTTTCGCTATAATCTACCATACACATATAATGCAAAAATATTATTCATAAACAAGAAAAATAAATAAAAAACATACAAATTCTTCTCAAATGAAGATGGACGGATTTCTTAATTAATGGATGGAACTTAACTCTCATGTAATACTAGTTTCCATGACTTCTTTGTTTAATTACTTACAAATCATTGCATTATTCGAATTCATTTAACAAGACACTGCAGTTTCTCATGTTCTGAATTTCTTATTGTCTTTGCATATTTTTCTTTTTTTTTAATTTTTAGCACCAATTTTCCAAATTTTCGTTTTTACATTCTTAAATTCAAAGCCCAGTGAAATTCTAAGAGAGTGTCTTTTTACACTTTATATTAATGACATATTATTGTGAATATTTAAATACCTTCTAAAATGAGTAATGTCCCTTAATTACAAGATTTATGTCCCTTCCTAAAGGTATGAAAATAGATGTCTGTTTAAAACCAATAAGACAGCAATCAGCCAAAATAGACATTTCAAGGTCATGGTATCTTGATGGACAAGTGAACATTCTGCATGGCAAGCTCGACTTACCAGGAGAAAACATAGGATTGGTTGATCTGACAATATTTCACAAATCAAAATACAAAACAATTAAATTCAAAAATAATTAAGATAAAATAAAGTTTACAGAACAGAAATTTTAAACCCCAAACATATTTTTAAATTTGACAGATTCTACCGCATATAAAATTAATATCACTGTAACCAAAAATTATCATTAATAATTTGCATATCTACAAATAAATAATAAAACACAGCACTGTACAGAAAAATATCACAGATTGATTAAAGATAAACAATAACACCCTTCCCACAAGTTGACATTTATTATTAAAGATTGAGACATTTTAACCCCCTTTTCACTTTAACTTTTTAAAACTGATTGGAGAAAATTATAGCAGAAAAATTGATTTACTTAATGATAAGTCGGTCAAAAATATTGGTAAAATACTTTTTTCATGTAATGATAATTAACATAAATAAATATTTGCTGGAATTTTGGTTTTAACCAAATACAGAAAAGAAATTTTCATGGGCCGAAATTTTCTGTTTTATAACGAAATTTTATGCAAGTATCTAACTACCATTGGTGTTTACCATTAACAGTGGGAGGCCTTGAATATTTGAAACTTGTGATCTGAAAAATCATAACGTTTTTCTTATTTTGAAGACAAATAGTTAAAATCACTGATATCACAAATCTGTTTTCTGATCATCGCAAACATTATACTTGCAATTTTAAAATTCTGAGAAAATTTGGTTTCCATGGAAACTGCAACTTTCATGTATCACAGTACTGTCTGGTGATAAATGCTTATTGGCAGTGGATATATAATATTGTAGCCATGGAAACCCCTAGCATCAATTTTTCTACGTATCCCATGGCAACCAGATCTATAAGTCAATATCACATTTGTTGCTATGTAAATTGTTTAAAACCTAAATAATTAGTTATAAAATTTGGATCAAAGCACATCATTTCCTAAACTCTTCAAGGACGTGTCAATGTCATCAAGGTAGCTGCTTCGCTCAGGTGATCGACTACGATGTGCAGAATAACCCAGGTAGGAAGTATTGGGACTACGATATCTGAAAAATAAATTAAATTGCATAAAACACTGAAATTTTAAAAACATTTTTTTAGGAATTGATAAAGGAATAAATTTATGATTTCATCATAACCTATTTCAAAGGCAAACTATGAAAAACAAAAAACTTTTAACTAAAATAGCAAAATGTTTTTTTTACATATTGATACACAAAGACAATTTCAAGCAAAATTCAATACTGAAAATTAAATTGGCACTCAAAATGTCAAGGCTTTACATCTCATAATTTCCTATGACAAAAGTGTTATACAATCATTTTCCAAATAAATGGTGTTATTTTTCAATTTTCTATTCTTATACATATCATGCATACTAATGTACCTAAACATGTTTTTTTTTATTTTAATAGCTAAAGAATAAAATTACATGCTATTGATTCAAGTTTGTTTTTTTAACATCCATAACTGCATAAAAATATAGATGTGAGAAAAAATATATATGTGATTTATTTGCAAAACAAACAGCATTTGCAACTGATATAAACAAAGGGAGATAAGTAAGTTATAAACTTTACTGCAACAACACAGGGGAGACAATTCAAAAAGTACTGAAAATCTTCAGCTTGAAATGTTAGTAAAATCTGAATAATTTTAAAATATAACTGAATGCTGTACAATCAAACAATGCAAAAATACATATCACTAATAATAAATTGAGAATAGCATTCTGGATAATTCATATCACCCATACTTACAGTGGAAAATATATAATTACTCTCTGCAGTAAATAAAAAGAGATTTTTAATTGGTAAAAATTTGAAAAAGAAAAATTGATTAAATAAGGGATAACTGTAGCATTTTGTATGTGTCTGTCCCATGTAATTCTGTAATTCAGTATTTGTTTGTAAGTTTCTATCAGTTATATTTGTTTTTTGGATTATTATTTTGGGACAAATCTTGTTGTATGTTTTTTTGTTTGAAATATGAATATTTTGTCATGGCAGTTCCTTATAAAGCTAACTATATTTTTGGTGTTTTGAGATTCAATGAGAAAAAGATAAAAAATAAATACAGCCATGAAACATTAAATTTGAATTTTTAATAACATTTTTGAAGATTTTTAGAACTTTAACAAACTATATTTCAATTTTTATGTCATTTGGTCTCTTATGGAGAGTTGTCTCATTTGCAATCATACCACTTCTTCTAATTTTTATATATTTAATTGAAACTAAAATGAATTCAAGTGTAACATTTTATCTATACCTTGCAGGACTTGGTGACCTAGATCTTGACCTTGACCTAGTTCTGCTGGTGGTCGTTGTTTTCAATGTGCGATGATAACTGTAGGATGAGCCTCCAGCGTTGGTAGAAAAGTCCATTGTAGGTATAGGTGGATTAAATCCATGGCGTTTTAATTCCTGGCATGCTCTTTCTCTGTAAGAAAAATTGGACAATAAAGTTAACAACAAATATCAAAGGGTACTAAACACATATGTTGGTAATATCAATAACCTCTGCCTAACTAGTCAGTGTTTACATTTATTGGTTAACACTGTGTATTATCAACTTTACTTATTTAAACATATCACAGAATTCTCAGTCTTTTTTCCGCTGGTGGTAACTTGAAAAAAATCTGCTGGTCCTCTATATCATTTCTATTGCAAAATACCAACATTATGTTGGTTCTTTGCAAATTTTTGGTGGTCAAAGCTTTTGGACCATACACGACATGTGATATCATAGCAATTTCATTGTGCATGAATTGTTTCTCGATTAAGTTTTAATCAGGTACATCCATGACAAAACTCTTGAAAACCAAATATATATTTCTTTAAAGACCATATATAAAACATAATTATGAAACATTTGCCACTTGATGTTAAGCCAACAACAATCAATCAATCAATAAAACATAATTCAGAACACGATTTGTAAACCTTTACAAAAATGTAAATGCCCACACCTTTCAAACTTTTCACTTGTCAGATTTCTTCTCAATCTTTCAACATCTCCCTCCAGTTCAACATTTCTTGTCCTCAGTGAAGCTATCTCTCTACCCTGACTTTGTCTGAAATTAAATAAAAAATAATTGTAACATATATAATTTTTGTTGTTGATGTAACTAAAAAAAATACTTCATTTTGAAAAAAAGCTCTTTTTAATCCTACTTTCAATGAAATATAGTGATGTGCCTTTTATATCCATCAATGTCAAGTCTTCCTATCATTGTGAAGCAGAATTCACTAAGGGCTAGTCCAGAAAATAATGTGCCTTCCAACCTCTCCAGATATATTTTTTGCTGGAATAGCCCTAAGCTATGGAATTTTTCACCCACCAGAAGACACAATTAACTGGGTTTACACCATCTTGAGACACAAAAACTACATTTTACAAATACAAAAATGGTAAAATTTTTCCTTTAATTCATAGAAACATTGATATAGAATACAATAATTTATTCACCACACCCAAATTTGCTTAAATCTATGTTTATAGATAAAGCATTTTTAAAGTTAATTAATTAAACATGATTTTGTCTAGAAAACATCCAGATAAGTAATCATTTTTAATTTGTTTTTCAAAAGGATAAATATTCTAGCATTATTTTAGGACTTACATTTTACTTTCGTTTAGAGACAATCTATCCTTCAGCATTTGTATCTCGGCACTCTTCTCCTGTTGATTTAACTGCGTCTGGAACTCTTTCTCTCGGTTATTCTGTAGAAGGCCTTCTAAGCTCTTTAAGTTGGTCCTCTCGGCAGACACCTGACTCTTTAATAAGTCTGTTTCTTGTCTCATATCATCTACTAAGTTTTGTAACTGTCAAAGGAAAAGTTATTATTAATGAAATTTGTTTAAGCAGGAAGGAAGAAGGGTTTTTTTAAATGGTGTTTTTATATATGTGTATGCGTCATAAATATATACATGTTGATAAAGCCATTTAAAATTCAAAAAGAACCTTCTCATTATATTTTGGTAAGGGATGTTTCATAATAAAGAACGTTGGATGAAAGGAAAGAAATTATTATGTTTGGCCATTTGTTGTACAGGTCATGTATGGAGTAATTAAATTAGACCTATGCAAAATTACACCAAGAATTGGGGAGATTTTTAAAGGTTTTTTTTCTGAATTTCCTACCCTCCATCTTCCATTTAAATGGAATAGCTCTAACTTGCATGTAGCAAGTCTGCTTAATGGTGTGTCTATCGTTTTAAAATATAGGCATACATTAAAAGGTTATAGGGTTATATTGAAGAATTTGACTTTTGCAGAATATTTCTTGCACTCATAAAGCTCCTGCTAAATTAACTTTTACTCAGCTCAATATTGCATTATCAAATATTACTATATTTAGATACAAACACTGTTCCATTGTTCCTGGGATAAGTAAAAATCGCAGAAAATGAGATCTGTGGGGACACCATCTTTCTAGTCTTTTACGTGAAACTTAACTTACCTGTTCTCTATCTAATGAAGCAGACGTCAACTGTCTCTGTAAGGACTCCTTGCTACCCTCCAACTTGGCACAAAGTTCCCTCACCGCTGTCAGATCTACAAGTAAGTTCTGCTTTTCTTCCTCTACTATTCGGAGGTTCTCCTCTAAATTGCCAACAGATCTTGTAAGGTTGGATACTTGGAGCTCATAGGCCTGCTGACCATTCAAATGCTGAAATAACAAAAATATAAATTTAAATATGAAGTTTTATAGTAAAATATTTAACTTTTTAGCAAACTGTTTACTTCAAGACAACCTTTCACTGTCAAAACTGAAAGTAGAGGTTACTCAATGAAGCTAATACATGTATCCACTTTCAGCAGGTGATTTTTATTTAGAGGTGTCCTGAAATTCAGTTTCAACTGTGTTTCAATTTTGTTAATTGATACTGAAGACCATATACGCTGATGCAGACATTTATAATGAAAAAAATATAAAGATAACACAAACAACATCGGTTGCCAAACTTGGCAGTATTCAGTTCTAATAAAAAACAGAGTTCTGCAAAATTCATGAAAAAATGTTTTTTGTTAAAGATTATCATTACACAGGAGAACGATCAAAATAATTCTTGAAATACATTGAAATGGTTAATCAATAAAAACTTTTTATAGTATAAACATATGATAACTCATAAAAATAATTCTATTTTTTTTCTCATGCATACAATCAATAAGCAAACTAAAAATATGCAAAATGTGAATATGTAATATAAACCATGATCTATGGCTACAACAGTGGAACAATATGGACTGCATTAAACTTTCTAATATAAAAATGCAAATTTTGAAATATGTTTGCTGAAAAAACTTTAAAAGTGCATTCTATTATTTTGTCTGGAACTGGAATTCCTTTTTTCATCAAAATACATTCTTCAATTGACTACAAAAATTAAAATTCAATTAAAATAATTAATGTCCCACTGTTGCAAAATCTGTCTGTCTAACAGCAAAAGATAAAGATGTCAAAATTTAAACTGTTAAAAATTTATTTATTTCTTTCAAATTTCTTGAGATAATTTTTTTACAGAAAAAAAGCTAAAGATATTTATTTTCTGCCATACCGATATACAAAATAAACGAAAGCAATGCAACTGATCATTGAAAATAAGAAAAATTTTCCAAATCTGAATCAGTCTTTACAGTTTTCTTTGCTGTTGGACAAAATAAAATAAAATGAATAATTTAAATGACCAACATTATACAGGTTACCTTGGAGGTGGAATCATTCTGTAGTGGGTTATCTCCCTGTAACAAAATTGAAGTTACCTCCCTTTAATCATTAAGCCTGGTAAATGTTTTGATATGCAAACCTTTTCTAAGGAAGGCTAACTAACCTGTAATGATTTCACCTACCAAAGTACAAACTATGATAGATATTTTTCATCAACAATTTTCATAATAACATTTGAGTCCTATTTGGTGTAATGGGGATAAAAATATATGTGTGGTTCCAGTTACATCCTGAAACCAAATCAGTAGGTATGCATTTTTCTTTTATCGTTTTCTTTCATATTGTCAAAATCTGGCAAAAAAATTGTGTTTTCACTGATTCCTGTTCCAATATTATAAACACCCCTTCCAAAAGTTCACCATTTTCTACATGTTTGATTGTAAAATAAAGACATGTTATTTTTTTAGTTTATTTTGGTGCATAGTTAAGAATTATTTGCATTTTAGCCGTAGTGGATACTTTCATGGAAATTCAGATGACAGAAGTCTGCGAATTTAATTTCTTAAGTTCAAAAAATATTTTTCAGAAATGCAAAAATAAGTTCTAGGGTCAGTCAATTAACTGGAACCACACATATATTTTCTTTGGCCTAAAACAGAAATTAAAAAAAATATAATCCTTCATATAAACACCACTACCTCTTGAATTTCTCTTTCTAAGTTGTCAATTTTGTCTCTGTTTCTTCTGATCTCAGAGTCTTTGGTCATCAGTTCCAGCCTCAGATTGGATCCTTCACTCTCCAACTGATGTGATGAGGTTTGGTACTGTTCTGCTTCCATTGATAAGGCTCTATACTGCTCTAGCAGGTCAGATCGTTCTGATTCCTAACAAGGTACAATAAAAATATAAACATTGATGGAACTTCATTTTTTACATAAAAATTTGTGTTTGTTTAATATTTCCAGATTTCATTTCTTAAATATTAAGGATAATTTCTTTGATAACAAAATAGACAATAGTTTAAACAAATTTGTCACACAATGATTTATAGTGTGACAAGGGAATAACTCTAACTGTTATATATGTTTACAGTTTTTATGTGCATTCTCTGTAATTGATAAGAAAACAGCAAATTTTAGAACACCATCAAAAGAACTATTTAAACAGTATTTAAACCCTTTAAAACTATTGAAAAGAAGTTATTTGATGTTTCAATACATGACCTAAAATCCCTTAAATCATGACAAAACCAAAAAGCCTTTATAAAGATGTTCTTCATCTCAAAGTACATGTGAGGCCTTCAACAATGAGCAAAGACCAACACCTAACTGTAAGTTCAAGATGGCCGCTCATTAATTTCAAGATTTTCTAGACTAGTACCTTTCTAGACAGTAAATCTTCAGTCCTCTTCACTTCAGTCATATAATCCTGGACTTGGGATTTGAGCTGTTCCCGGTCATCTAAAGCATCTTGTAACTCTTGATTTAATTTCTACAAATAAGATATATATACAGAAATAACATTTCCAAAAAAACAACCTTTTTTCATTCCTGTATATTTGTATTATTCATTATTAAATCAAAACACATTGACCTTAACAATAACTGATTTTAACTTTTCTTTATAATTTTGTTCATAAATTTCTAAGTTTTATATTTTTTTCCTTTCAAGTTTATTAGACAAACATTAAGATCTCAATATCTTTTTTTAAGCTTAGCCTGGCATCCTGACCCAATCTAATACTTCGTCGATAGGGCCAGGCGTAATACAATCCACGTGACCAACTATCAGCGCTGAACAGGACTGAATTACTGCGCATGTGCGTATTTTATAATCAAGGAATATATCGATCGGATTGTTAATTAACTGTTGATTCATGATGTTAATCAACAACGTTTGGATTATATTTGTTAAAGTTTTCGAAATTTGCATTTCATATGAAAATAAAAATAGTCTTCAATAAATTTGTGGCAATATAAATATTTCCCGCCATGTGTCAAGAAATGACGCTATCCTAAGATGCATCATTCTAACATCCAATTGACGGAACCATGTTGTTGTATTCCGCCTGGCTCTACTGTCAAGCAGTTGGCCAGGATCCCAGGCTATTTTTTAGCTGTGCATTTTCTTCAAACAGATAAGAAAAATAAAGAAATAAAATTGATGCTGGTTTGACAGCAAGAGTCTTATAAAAAAAGAAACTGTCAAGTTGCCTTTTTGTCTAGTTTTTTGTTGCACTGTTTTTTTACAAGTATTTTTTCAAAATGTTTTATATTTCAAAATTGTAATCATGTCAATTCCTCTGGTAATGAAATGTGGCTAAAAAATTGCAAAAAAAATCAACAATCACTTTACTATTTCCAGAAAAACCTGCAGATATCATAAGCTGACAGACTTTTAAAAAAATTATGGTTTTGAAGACAAAAATTACTTAAAAAAACAATCAAAACAACAAATGTATTGAAATTTAAAATATCAAATAAATCTGGTCGAGGAAACTGTTGCAGGGTCTAGTAAATTTTCTAATTTTTAAAATTCAGCGAATTTTTTAACCTTGTGATTGCTCGAACTGTGGTTTCATTATTATTCATGGATACCAATTTAAGTGGATTTCATGGGTGAAGGTGAGCCATAAATTTAAATGTTCAACGAAGTACAAATTTCCTGTAGGGTTGGTTGTATGCAGACTTTGAAAAAACCATGAAATCAAATATCATTGCAAAAACAAGTTTCCCTTAATTCACGAAAAATTGGTACCCATGCAAATAAATGAATCCACAGTAAAAAAATTAGGAACGATGTCAATACCTGATTTTCTCTGGTCATTACAGCTAAATCATCCTGGAGACGTCTATTCTCTCTCAGAGCAATATCTTTACTACGACTCGTCTCACTCAGATCTTCAGTAGTGCTATCACACTGTCTGTGTAAACTCTTAATCTCTCTATCCTTCAAACCTAGGTTATCACCGGCATGCCTGGAAAAATAATCAAACAAATTGTTAAATAAGGCATGTTTGTAGTTATGTCTCAAATATTTACTGAGAGCAATGGATGAAGACACCTGTAAGGCCTATCCACTAAAACATATATGTTGCCAAGTGTATTCAATTTAAAATAGAGCAACCTCCTAAAGAAGCAAATTGGGAGACATATATGTATACCTACATCTTCAACCCCTCTAAAATGATCTGTAAAGTGAGATTAGCTGGACTTAATGGTGGTAAATTTGGAAAGCCTCTTGATAAAAATGATATGTGATATAGGGGAAGAAATTTTGCGAACTAACAAGCCACCTAAAGGCACTTCAAAGAGTTGTTGCATGGGTTCATAAAGTCTAAAGAGCATGTAAGGAGTCTGAACCCACTTCAATTGAAATTGAATTAATGTTGACTATTTAAGAAAGCTTGAACATGTATAGGGAATTATCAATAAAAAGTATACACTTGGTCAAGTAAAAATAAAAAGTGAAATGCCACCCCTCATTTATTTCTGAAACAACCTTTTCAATTGAATGCCTGCAATCTTTTTCAAAATGTAGAAATCTTTTTCCAATATCACTCTTCAATTGCTTATCATTTTAATTAGCATAGTCAATTTCTTAACAAGTTTAACTTACTCTAGCTGAGCCTCCAGTTCATTTACTCGGATCTTCAAATCACTCATAAGTTTTTCCTAAAATGAGAAAATCAAAATAATTAAATATACATACAGAACTTTGCCTGACGATTAAAAATTGCATTAAGTAAATTGGTATGGACAATGGAAGAGTCAAAGCAAAGACTAGATTTCGAATTAGCTAAGAACACAGCATTTAAAGTAACAGCAAAGACTGGTCAGCTTGCAGTCAAAATTATATATTTGGGTACAGTGACATGTCTTCCTGTGTTATGTGTGTACTGTTATTTTGTGAACTTCATATCCAGCTCCATGTGTTTTTCTAGAACATAGCAGGGTTCATAATTTTATCACACTAAAACATGATCATCCCGAATAATTAGGAAAAATAGGAATTTTACATATATACACAACGATATTCACATTTTTATTTTACTCACTAAAATAAATAGCTTGCAAAAATTAGTTGGTTTACGGTACACATTTCAGACCTTTTCAATTTTTATTTTGCACTGACCTTTACTAAAATATCCTCATTCAATCTAGCAATTTTTTCTGTCTTTTCATCAATGGCCAGTTGAAGACCATCCTTCTCTCTATCTAGAGAACTGATAGTAAGCCTTTGTTGACCAGCCTCATCTTTGGTATTCAGAAGAGCTCTATTCATTTCAGCAATCCTGTCTTCTAACTGCAAGATCTTTTCTTCTTGTGTTTGAACAGTATGTTCTCTTCTTCCAAGACGTTTTTGTGCATCTTCTAATGATTTCTCAGTCTCTTCAGCAAGCATTCTAAAAGCAGAAACGAATATTTTGTTATATCAATTATCATTTAATTTTTCAGGGTTTTTTTTAACACCAGTAAATTGATGAATATATAAAAACTTAAAGATCAATGGTTGGTGTCTGCTTATGAATGTACAGTGGCAAATACATCATGCATATCCAGATGTGAACAAGTGAACATTTTATTGATGGCTAGGTACTGATGATTATGATGGATTGGTGTTTAACATACAGTGGCAAATATTACATATCAAAATAAGGAGATGTGGTATTATTGCCAATGAGACAACTATCCACAATAGTTAAAATGAAGTGGATGTAAGCAATTATAGGCAACTGCACGACCTTCAACAATGAGAAAAACCCATATCATATAGTTGGTATAAGAGAATTAGGAATTTAAATATACAACGAAATATAGGATTATATGCAGACTTTGGCAAAACCATGAAGTCAAATATCATTGAAAATGCAAGTGTTCCTCATCCAAGAAAATTGTGCCATATTTTTAACTTGCTACTTCACAAGGTAACTATTCTGTTTCTGAACTGACCATTTTTTGCTATTACTCCTAACTGTAGGGTAGGTACTGGATTTAGGTACAGATCTCAGAAGCCAAGGTATTTGAACATCCACACAACAGCTCCAATCATGATAAAATTTGAAGGTTTGATTGTATAAAATCCTTGCCCACATTTTTGAAATTTTGTTTTCTTGACCTGTAAAATTCTTACTTCATTTGTGTAGCTGTAGATCTGTGCTGAGAGGCCTCATCCTGAGTGTGGCCCAGACGAAGAGCTTGGTCTTTCACTTGGTCCTCATAGTGTCTGACGTCTTCTCTTAGAGTTGTTACTCTGACAACGTACTCACTCTTCTCTGTTTCAGACTGGAAAAAAGTAAAAACAAGAAGTTGTAGACATTGAGGCGCTAAGCATATCTATATCTGAAAGTATCTGAAAACAGGAAGTAATTGTTTGACTGATCTTAAAAGTGCTCACACGTTACAGTTCATCACTGTCAATAAATGGAAAAATATAAAATATATTTGTACAGTAGTACTTATGAAGTCATTTGGTTCAGTAGTATTTGAGAAAAGTGTGAGGAATAAATTTGTCGGACAAACGGTCAAATCAGGTGATCAGAACCAACAAATATTTTAAGTGAAGTCCTAGTACTCCAAGAGTGAAGGAATAATATACACTTTTGTACATTTATTTCACAGATTTATAAAATTATGATTTGCATACTATTATTTTTGCCGTCTATCGATATACGATATAATTTTTTCCAAATGCCTAAAAAATACTTTCAAGTTGCAATAATTTTCACACTTGCACACAAAAACATTCTTTTTTTTTTTTTTTTTTACAGAAATCAATATTCTTTGCAGTATTTATACAGCTAATTTAATTTTTTGGAATCTGTGAAATTACATTTTATACCAAACAGATAAATCTTAAATCAACTTTTTATGGCCTAAAATGTAAAATGACCTGTATCAAAATCTAATTTTCAACTTCTGACTATTTCCCCAAGAGAGTTTATACACAAGACTTACATTATGTAGAGCATTTTCCAGGTCCTCAATTTTCTGTTCAAGCTTGGCCCTGTCTGATAGGGAAGATTCTGTTGCAATCTTCAACCTCTCTCGTAGACTATCCCTCTCCGTTGTCATCCTCCTGAGGTCTGCTATTCCATCATCTCTTTCATTCTCCACTCGCCTTAAAATTGCCTGAGCTGCCAATGATGTTTTAGGAGATTTTGGTGATCGAACAAGTTCTCTCCTTATTCTCTGAAGCTCATCTTTGGTCTAAAAACAATAAAATAAAACTATGGTTATAATAAATACATAAATACAATAGTTTAATCAGATGCTTGCTGTTCATATTTTCAACTTTTCATTTATATTTTTTTATAAGCACATATATATATATTTTATCTCAATGGATATTTTCAGGATATTCATATTTAGTTAGACCAAAGCAATTCTTATCTAGTACAAAGCAAGTCTTTATTCTATATTCAACTCAATTCTCACGAGGGGAGTGAGACCGAGATATTTTCCCATTCAAATGGAAACCATAAGGGCTATTCCATAAGTTATCGCAAGGGGCCATGGGAGGCACTTTTATAAAACACTGAACACCCTTAAAATAAAAAGATTCATTTTACTTATAATTTTTTACAAAATTCCACAAAAATTCCGAGAAAAATCCAACTATATTATTGATTAGAGTCCCCCACCCCATAAATTTTGGAACAGCCCTAAATAAATCAACTGTTAACCACATGAAAAACAACCTGAATATTTGGCACAATGACAGAACATTTTACTTAACTTCTCTTTAAAGAGTAACCAAATGAAAATGAATAAGGGAGATAACTCTGATAATAAATCAGTAATGTGTTTTTAATAATCTGTATCATAAATGCCTTTTAAGCATTTATATGAAACAAAATTAAAATTATCTGTGTAACTTAATAGCTTATAATATATCTGTCACCAAGGTCCAGAGCACTGTTAGATTAGGCGGAGCTAACTCGTATACTCGAATCAAGGGACAGGGGGTAATTCTATCGCTAGACTTAATGTTCTGAATGGCATAGCTAAAACGCAAGGAAGGTTTTCATAATTTAATTAACGATAACAATTTAGATAAATGATGATAACAAATCAATAAGTAAACAATACCAAATAATAATAATATTCTAATTAAGTACAAGATTATAAAAGCTAAATATCAAATCCAAAATATAACTTTTTCTCTTTCCAATAAAATAACTGCCAAAACTACTAAATCATATAACGAACTTCATTTCAAAATCAAAATGTAAAAGCCTAAAAAATATAATAATTCTCAAATAGAAATTGCCAAAGTAAAAATGTGAGTCAGAGATAACACTACACAGTCAACTGGTAGACTGGTAGACAGTCTTGAAGGTCCAGTATAATGACATTAGTAGTGAGAGGTTACGGTTCTGAAACACTCACTGTTTTCTAAAAAATGCTCAAAAAATAAAATGTGAGTCAAAGATAATTTTTTGTCTCAACACTACAAAGTCAACTGGTGGACTGATCGACAGTCTTACAGATCCAGTATAATAGACTTTAGCAGTGTAAGTTTAGGTTTCCGAAAAGATGATTGCTTTTCCTAAATTTTACAATGCCATTTATACTAAAACCAAAAACTAATCAACATGACACAATGTGTAAATAGTACTCTCATTAGCAAAATAGAGTATAATTAAACAAAGCATAATTCCTTCATGTTTTGATAAAAACTTAAAATATCCTAGTGACATGCTAATTACAATTAATATTTCAAACCAAATTACTTTGAGCAAACTGTAACATGTCAAGTACTTGCCACAACATACATGTAGGTAAAAATGAATAAAAATTTTACAAAATAAAAACACAAAATTTTCTTTCTAAAATAAAACATTCTTTTATACTAATTACACTAATAAAAATATAAGGCAAAGTACACACCACGACATATCTTTAAAATTGTTGACAAAAACATAGTAGTGATTTTTTTATAGTTTTAAGAAACAAGACTTTACCTCATCATACATTGTGCTGAGCTTGTCTCTCTCTGCTGTCAAAACTTTAACATTAGCTTGAATCTGGAATATGACGAAAAGATAAATGTTTTATATTTGTAAGTTTGGTAACCTACCAGTGACAGATAATACACTAATCTTGAATTGTTTTTTTTACGAATGAGCTACACCGGTTGACCAGAGGTCAATCGATGTAAACAACATCATTGAACATCGGTTCTTACTGTGATGTAATAATTTTTATAAGCATTGTGACAAAGGAAATTTACGGGAAAATACATGAATCCAAAAGCCGTCTATTCAAGTTACAGTTAAAATATAATTTAATAAATCATGCTGTATTTGTATTTAAGTCTATTTCAAAACTGTAGAACATGCACTTTAAAAAAAGACTGTTTTCTAATATTTATGTTTCTTTTATGTCTTCAAATCACACAAGTCATCTGTATTGATGCTATCTTGAGCATATTTTGGTATTACAATTCCATTATTTCAACATTTTTCATGATTTTGAAAACATTTGGATCTTAGTCTTCTCCATTAGATCAATTATATAAAGGGGTTTTGATTGAAAAATGCTTCATATTCATTATTTATCAATGTTGTTTTTTTTATTCTGACTTCACATATTATCACTTTGTATGTATTATTTGAATTTTTCAAGTTGACATTTTGTACTAACCTCAGCCATATGTCTTTCAAATTTATCTAGTAAGGCTTTCATTTCATCTCTTTCTCTGATCAATTTGGAAACTTCTGGATCGTCAAGTCCCTGAAATTTCATTTAAAGTTTAGTATAACAGACAATCAAATTTTTCTATATACCACCCATTTTCAGTGCACTTTCAAAGTATATAAATTATATATTTTTAATATCGTTCTCAAAATTTCTACATTCTCGGTCATTAATTTACAGATAAACTAATATCTTTTACAAAAATATATTGTCCAGCGGAAAATATTTCATCATAGCAAGTTTTGTTCATTAAGATAATATGCTAACTACTTTGTTTTATTTTATTCCAAGGTTTTTGTAATAAATTGGTCAAAGGGAAATAACTCCAGAAAAATCTTAAAAAGTCTTTTTATTTTGAGCATTGACTATATAAGCAACAAACCTTAGTTGGTGTAGCTCTGGCTGATGAAATTGTTTTCTTTGTGGCTTTCAGAATTTCATATTCTTTCTTGTAATATTCTTTCTCTTCTTCCATGACCCGTATTACAGTCTCATATTGGGCTACAGTCTGTAAATGAAAAAAGTTCGTAAAAATATATTTTGTTTCACATAAAATTAAATATGTAGTCCTTGTATATAAATCATCAAATAACAATTTAATGTGTATTCATTATCATTCCTTGCATACCAATATTCGCCGATTTCATGCAAATAGTGAAACAACGAATTAAAATGTTCAATGAAGAATAAACTTTTGACAGTTTTTTTACTCATTGTTGAAGGCCGTACAGTGACCTATAGTTGTTTATTTCTGTGTCATTTGGTCTTTTGAGGAGAGTTGTCTCATTGGTAATCATGTCTTCTTATTTTTATATTGTATACAAACATTTGCAAAAACAGGAAATCAAATAACCGTGAAATCACAATTTTTCCCGTTTCCACGAAAGTTGGTACCCATGAACATACATGAAATCCACAGAATTCAAGATTTCAAAGGGGTGATGTATTTAAAAACAAATGAAATGTGTTATGATGTTGACTGTAAAATAACAATAATGGTAGCACAACACTGTGGACGTGGTTTAATTGCAAATGTCAGACACCAGAGGACGCTGATGTAGGATACTACTCATATACAAACCTTTTTATCAGATTTTGAGGTAGGTGTTCCTGCAGCCTCCCGTATCGGACTTCCTGCTCTAGAAGATGACCTTGACCTTACAGGACTTCGACTTCTCGTTGGAATCTCCCCTCGTAACATTTTTTGAAGAGCATCGGCTTGATCTCTGTAATAGTTTCTCTCTTCTTCAATACTACGAATGAAGGCATCAAGTTTGCTTGAAGTTTTGCCTTTCTTTGTTAGTGCTGGGCCATTCTTTTTCTTTAGTCTTTCAATCTCTAACACAAGTTCCTTTTCTGATTTAAAAGAAAATGTAGAATTGACAATCAACTGACTTTAATATATGTGTGCTCAAACTTTGGGTCAATTCAAAACTTTTTATACCGGTATACTCTTTTAAGTTTTTTTTTTGCTTTACAACAATATTCTTATGGTGTATATCTAAACATAATCTTTCATAGAACCAGATATTTCTAATGTTTTCATAATAAAAAATTACTAGATGTAAATAGTGAGTTTATTATGAACTGTTTTTTACAAGAATGGGAACAGATATTACAAATACATGCTGGTAGTAAACTATGCTCTTATGTACTTTATAAAAATAATTTTGTCTGTGCCATCACAACCCAAGAGCTCACTGTGGTATATAGAAATATAGTTGTCCCTTGGTCTTCTGCTGACTGACAGTAATACCATTGCCACGTTCTCTACACGTGAAGAACCCTTGCACCAACTCTTTGAGGGGTGCGTAGGTGTCCTGTTGTAATTCTAAATTGCTGTCCATATTCTATATATACTTATTTTCCAGCGTTTTTCTATTCTAGTTGTGTCATTGTTATTTGGACTTTTGTCTACTCGTTTTAATTTCACTCATGTCTGTGTGGGTTTATATGGTTGTAATATCTAACGCTGTTTCAACGTTGTTTTTTTATACTGCAACTAGTTATTTTTATTTTCTAAATATAGTAACACAGCTATATTTTGTGCAATGTCAATTTCATCATGGAACACTTTCTCCACAAACATTGGTTCATTAAGGGATAAAAATAAGTTTGACATTTGTGTTACAATCTAAATAGCTATCAATGTAATAATTTAAGTTGCAGTATAAAAACAATATTAGGTCAATGTCATAAAAATATAAACTTTTTTGTATTTGGCACAAAACTGTGGATGGGCTCAGTTAAACCTCGCCCTTCCCCAGTTTCTCAGCCTCATACAAAAAAGTTTATATTTTCTGACATTGACCTAATATTGTATATTTCTCTTATTGTCTGCTAGATTTTTAATTTAGAATTTCCATATTGCCATGCTCATGCTCTATATAGATATAGGTAGATGTGGTATGAGTGCCAATGAGACAACTCTCCATCCAAGTTACAATTTATAAAAGTAAACCATTATAGGTCAAGGTACGACCTTCAACACAGAGCATTGGCTCACACCGAACAGCAAGCTATAAAGGGCCCCAAAAAAATTACTAGTGTAAAACCATTCAAATGGAAAAATCTATAGTCTTTTTTAATGGTTCTCTATCTAAAATAGTAGTAATTTGACAATACTGTGGATTCATTATTTGTCGTGGGATACCAATTTTCATGGTAAAGATAAACCACAAATTTAAAAGTTGAACAAAATACACATTTTCTAAAGCCATGAATACAGACATAGGCGAAACAATGAAATCAAGTGTTAATGAAAATACATTTATTCCTCAATCCATGAAAAATAAATGAATCTGGAGTAAAATCTAAGTCCTACTAATAAGTTTGTAAAATAATCCCATACCATTAGCCATAAGTTTGTTCACTCTATGACTAATCCTCTTCTTGTCTTCTGTCACTCTGTCTAGCAGTTCCTCAAGACGCATCAGGTCGCCATTCTTTACAGATAACTGCTGTTTAAGTTCGGCTTGCTGTATGGATAAGGACTGGTTACCCTACAATCATTATAACATTTATGTACTGTCTAAAAAGTTTAACACTGCTAGAACTGAACTGAAAAGATAGCCCGAACAATTTTAGGAAATAATCCACTAAACTTTAAACATTGCAGGGTAAAATAAAAAGTGCCTTCTGTATTTTAACTCTTTTTTTTATCCAGTCTTTTTGATTATAAAACAGTCATTTAGGTTACAGTAAAAAGGTAATATTGTGCTAAGAAAGATAACTCAATTATTCTATCAATTAATTAACATCCATCCAACTTACAGCTTTCAACTCAGCTACTACTTGGTCCAAGTCTTCAAGCTCATGGCGAGATTTTTCCAATTCATCCTGAAAATATAAAACAACATGTGTCAACTTCATCATCTTTGTAGGGCTATTCCTAAAATGGAAATATTTATAATCATCTGATTGATCATTGACCAATAGGCAAAAAAAGTTCAGTTGCAAATATTTCATACATATTCAGGGTTATTCCATCAAAAGAATGTGGAAGGATAGGAAAGGACAAAATCCTCCTACAACTTAAAGGGGGAGTTTTTCCTTTCCTGTCAACCAGCATTACGTTTTTTGTGTAATTTTCGTTCCATCATACGGACATACATGTGTAATTTTCGGTACGTCATATGGACATACAACCATAAATGACCTACGACCCATGTCCAAAAATAAAACTTCCCTTCCAACTCGTCCTTATGCATTATAAAAGAAGACTGTTCAGGATGATAACATGTTAATGGAAGGAAAAGATGGTATGATTCATGTCCAATGTCCAAGAACACACTGCCTTAAAACATTTTTCTGACAGTGAGGTGACAAGTCTTTAGTTTGTACTCCCTTAAAGCTTCACACGTGTTGGAATGACAGTTATTACAAATTTAAGTCCTTGGTTTAACTTGGAAGACACTTCAATAATATTAAAGAAACACTCTTCCATTTCATGCAGTAAAGCTATTTTTCCTGCTTCTGACGTGTTATGAGAAACAAATAAAGTATATTTTGAAGATCTAAGATGCAATCAGTGTGGAAGTATTATGAAATGGACTTTTGTTATCATTTTCATTTTTGTTTTACCCCTCCCTGTAATATATCCTTTTGTATTTTCCTTTAAATATATATTTAGCCATACTTTTTTTTTTGGCACATGATATGAATGCTGTTAAATTGATCATGCTTTATATTTCAATATTTTTAATTTTTGAAAACTACAGTGATCAATACACTAATTAAGCACACACATAAATTATAACTGCTGTGAATTTTTTTTTTTTTGCCACAACTGATTAATTTCATGCATGATATACATTCTAACCGGCAGACTTGGTAGCTGGACTTGTAGACATTTTTTAAACTCTTGTACACCACTTTAAAAACATACTTCTGAATGGGTGCGTGTCAAATTTGCTAAATATCAACTAAAATTTTTTAAACATATATATATATATATATATCAAATTGAAGAGTACTTGATTATTATTTACTATCTATAAAAAAAAACATGCATCTAATCATTGAGATTTAAAAGCATTGAAATGAACTTTGCACATGTGCAAAAACCCTGCATTTTTCATGCATGTATGTAATATATACATATTTCTATTAATCTTACCAGATGACAACAGATCTAAAATAATTAATCTTGATCTTAATACATATAAAATTTTAAAAATTTAAATCCTACACTTCCTCTACATGAACTATTACTAGTCCAACACCTTCTTTTCATACTATAAAAATATTTAAAGGTAAGTAGTTCCCAGAAACTGTACATGTTGTATATGAAATAAATACATTGCCCAATTTTTTATATTGAAAAAAAAAAACAATTTAATTAATTTTTGGTGGGTTGATATAAAGTTCTGAAGTAAATTCTTTTAAAAAAGAAACAGAAAACTAATCTTTGTTCTATCATCTACCCACCTTCAATGAATGAAATTCTTATTTTTAGAATCTATACGACTATGGGAAATTCCTTGTTAGAACCCCAAAATGGGAATAACGTCATATCATTGGTTTAATTTCCATTGTGTAAGACTTGGTCAACCAATCACTGCAATTATATGCTTTTAAAATTTTTACCCAGAATGCATTAGATTCTGAAACTCAGACAAATCTATTTACCTTAGCCTCGTTCATTTCTCTATCTGCCTCTTTAACAACAATTTCTTTGTCTGATTGTAGACGTTTGGCCATGCGGTCCACATCATTGAGGTCATATTCCAATTCTTTATTCTTCGCTTCTAATTGTCTTGTCTTTAAATTCATTTTGGATGACATGCTTTCATACTCATCTCTCGTTGCTAAAGCTTCATTCATTTTTCTGTCCATTTCTCTATTCTTTTGTTGTAAAAAGTCAATCTGTAAGGAAAATGATCAGAAAGTAAAATATATGTAATTGTTCAGAGTTCTTGAAGACCTCACTTACAAAAAACAATTCATACCAATAAAATGCTTGTCTGACAAGTAAATTGAGATTTTTACTAGAAAAAAGTCAGATAAATGTTTGGGTATTTTTAGATTTAAATTTATTTAAACCTGTTATTCTCATTTTTGATCACCAAGTTACTTTAAGCATGATTGATTGTTGGTATTTAATGCCACTGTCAACACTCTTCACTTTACCATGGTGGGCAGTTTTATTGGTGTAAGAAACAAATACCCGGAAAGAACAACCAAAACCTCGGCTGGAAAACTGGCAATCCAAGTCAATTTAGATTGGAGTCAAATACAAATAGCCACAAGAAGGGTTAGAACTCACAACCTCAGAGCTGACAGCCTAGCGATTGCTGTAGATGAACTACTTAGACCACTTGGCCACCAAGTCCTCCTCCAAATATGAATAAATATATGAATTGTAAGATAGGAATTTGCTTTTGTCATAGTATTCAAGCTTTTAAAATCAAAATACAAAGTCTGGCAACAGTTGAATCCATGCAGGATGTAAAAGTAGTTACCACTTGGACTTTTTTTATATCCTGAGAGCAAAACTTCAGATTTCATTTTTTTGTTTCCCTTTTTTCTTGAAATTATTTGTGGTAGTTAAAGCAGCTAATTAAGGGTCATTGGATATTTCACTGTGTCTGGCATGTTATAAATTACTATAGAATCTTCTCTTTTTATTGGTTCCAATTTTTGTGGATAGAGGAAAATATTGCATTTTTGTCATGTTTGTAGATACTTCATTTTGTGGTTTTGAAAACTTCTCAAATGAAGTCTACAGAAAATTTAAACTCTTTTGAACACTGAAATTTGCAATAAAGCATTACTTTCCAAAATTAGCACTCAACAAAAAACAGTAGAATCCTAAATCTTGTATTTTTATTCACCTGTATATTAAGATGAGAGATCATCCTCTCGTTAGCCCTGTTCCGGGCCTCCAGGGCCACAACATCTGAAGGTCTTCCTCCGTCCAACATTCTGTTCAGTCGTTCTATTTCTTCATCACGTCTATCAACCTGCAAAAGAATTGAAACATTTTTTTTTTTTTTTGTAAATTCTTATCAATTCCAAGACTTTTCTCTATGTATTTTTAATCATATATATAATTTTCACACTTTTATCTATGTGTGAAATCTGACAAATGAAATATATTGCTGACCTTTTCCACCATGCTTAACAAGTGGGAAAACAGCATGGAACCATGCACCAAGTTAAAAAATACCATTGAAGTATCAAAATAAGGAGATGTGGTGTGACTGCCAATGAGACAACTATTCCTGAGTCCAACTGATGTCGAGTTTAAAAGTTCATTTTATATACCCAACTAAAGATTTTATTCAAATATCTCTAGATCTTTCAAACAATATCCCTATAAAGCTCAGAAAAGCAAACTTAGGGTTCCCTGTTTTAATATTATTATCTAATTAAGGAAATGCAAGAAAAAACAACAAGCAATACACAGGGGCTCCTTGGTCATTTTACTTTGTACCAAGTTCTAAACCACAAATCTATGACACCCGCCTATAGAATTCAATACACATCTAAGTCCTTTAAATATACTAAATTTAAATGACTGTTTGAAATAAAGTGTTTTTGTCAAACTGAAACAATAGAATATTTTTTATGCTTTTCAAGGTCTAGCCTTTCAAATTAGAGATAATATCTTTCTGTCAAATCAAACAAAGAAATTCATTTTCTATTATAAATTCATTTTAAAGCCCTATTAATGCTAAATATATATATGAAATATTTTCAGAATGAAAGGGAGAACTCTTTTTTTGAATATTTAATTTGGGTTATCTTTTAATGGTTTTCTTTATCAACAGAAACTCTATCCTCAAAATAATTTTCTGTTATATATTTGCCACACAAAATATTTACCTTACTTTACAGTTATATGCATATATGCATTTTTTGCTTTGTTGCAATTTTTTTTATGTTTTACAGTATACTTAACATTGTTTATATATATATATATTTAAGAATGCATATGGCCAAGTATTTAGTTAGGTGTAACGAATATGTGAATTATAAAATAACCTATAAATTCATGCTAAATATTAATTATTAAATAAATTAAAGTTCTGCAATCAAAAAGCAACATAAACGATTTTGAAGGTACTACTTTCAACCTCTCTGAACAGATTTTGATTAAAATATTCTATATGTTAACTTATAAAATATTAATTTACTAGGTGCAAAAATCTGAATTATTTAAAAAAAATAGGTCTTCAAAAGTTTTATCATTATAACATTTTTTACTCACTCCTGCCTCAAGAAATAATCTCTCTTTGCATTCCCCAGCTCCTGGTTCAAGATATAATCTCTCCCTAGATAATTCCCTGGGCCTGGGTCTATTATAATCAGACCTCAAACTTTGATGCCTATGCATTTTGGGAGGTTTTTGAGACACTACCCTCCCGTTATAATATCTATCCAATATATAAGATGTCATGTTAATTTCATTTTAATTTCTCTAAATGAAATCAACATTTCAAATTTTGTTCAGACATGCAAATGAGCAAGTTAGTTAATTATGTCAAATTAAGGATTTGGCCACTTAAAACAAGATCAGCCATACCTCATTAACCCCAGCTTTGATAGTTCAACTTCGTTAATTAACAATTGAAATTCACAACTGATAATTAGACACTGACCATTGATTGGTTCAAGTAATTAATAGTAACATTGTTTTCTATAGAAACTTTATTTTCTATCTGATTAAGTTATGTTAAAATTGTTTTATACCAATAAGCAAATTCTTTTTAAATATTCAATTGCAGATTGAATTTCATTTTATTTTAAACTACAAAATGTTGTATACAATGTAAAATATAAATACACCTAATGGAAATACACAAGCATGTTCTCAAACTGGATAATGTTTAAGTACACTTAGTTTAAAATACACCTGTCCATTATAAACTACAACATGGAATATGTTTATTTAGAACTTTTCATTTATTTTTCTTGGTAGTTATTCAGAATAAAAAACTCATGAAAATTTAGGTTAATTACCACTCTTCATCTTGAAGTGCGTTTTTGTATTTTCAAATATATATGTAATGTTTTTTTATTGTTTGAACATTTTAGATCCTATTTTCCTTCATAATATGAGTCCACCCTATTCAGCTGATTATATAGTTTTATGTTATATAAGAATCAATAATTTAAGCAATTTTTATTTATTACCATACAAAAATATGAATGCAAAATGCAAACTGGTCACAGAGGCAGATTTAGGAGGTGGGTGGGGTGTGTTCCACACCCCCCTTATGGATCTTATATATGATAAATGCATAGACCTTTTACAAGTATCACTATAAAGGTTGGCTTGCCAGAGCCCTTCCTTTTCAAAATCCTGGATTTGCACCTGGATCAATTTACAAAATAAAATATTTACCCAAATAGGATTGCTATAGAAATTCAACTCACACAAAAAGCTGTTGTTAAAAAACAAAAAGATAATCTAATTTTTTCACTTACCCTTAGCTAATCTTTGAACACTAATTGATTGTCAAGTTAAAGTACTTAACAAATTTTATTCCTTATAAACATTGTATTATTGTATCCACACCCTCAATTTCTACATAAGGAAATGTCTGTACCATAAGTCAGGAATATGACAGCTGTTTTCAATTCGTTAGATGAGTTTGAGCTTTTGATTTTGCCATTTTATAAAGAACTTTCCGTTTTGAATTTCCATTGGAGTTCAGTATTTTTGTTATTTTACTTTTTTCTTTCACCAACCACCACTTGAGTATTCTATTTTTAAGTTCATGCATTTCATCAAGTTCATTTTATCTCAATTGAATTCATATTCTGAATAAGTTATATTTTTTAAAACAATAGGTTTTTACTTCTATGATTTTTTCAAACAGACAATTTTTTTTGGAAAGGTCGTAAAATGTGAAAAAAAAATAACTGTTCCTGCAATAATTTTTTTGGGGAGGGGGTTTTTGGGTTGCTGTCTCATTAATTTTTGCCCAACAACTCCATTGCTTAGTACCTAAAAATTTCAAATATGTATGTTTTGAAAAATATTTGCTCCACTCCTCTGGGAAAATCTTGAGCTCAAAACAATGTTCTGGGAACCACTACAGCAAAACTACAAGTCCGTAACACATTTACAACTTCACAACTAATTTAGATAAGCAAAGATCCGTTATAAACCTAAGACATCATAAATGGACCATAAACACTCGCACGACATTTATTAAATTTGCTGAGGGTTTTAAACAGGAACTGATAACCTAAGCCACTCCAGGTCAATGAAGATTAATTCAAAATTAATTTTAAATTGGTCGTATACAAGATCAATACTAGTAGATCTAAAATGTAAATTTGTCGTTCGGTAAATGACTTTAAACGAGAATTCATTAAACACGTCTGAACATGGGGTTGACAATCCTATACATTATGTATGTGTAACAGCTAGACGTCGCTGATTGTGGAAAGTTTGTTACAGTTTAATAAAAGTCTCTATTAAATATTCAAATATACTAATATTTCAATTGTATCCATGATTCATTTGTTAGAGTTTGAGACACATTCAGAAAGTTGCAATCCAGCAGATTTTCAAATGGCTGTTTAAACTTTTTGGATTATTCATTTTAAGATCAATAACACTGACTGCATGACCATCTGCAGGTCTATATATATGCATAAAGATTCTACCACTGCATTGAGTGTGATACAATATTTCTCCACTCTTTAAGGACAGTTAAATTTTCAAATGTAAAATACAAAGCTTGCTGAGCGATTTAGATATTTGAAATATAACTGTCGAGAGTGGAGGAATTTTGTCTTGCACAAGATTTGGTGGTAGAATCTGTTTCTCTAATGATTTTTTACCACTTGAAGTTAAGCAACCAACAATCAATCAATCTAACTAAAGATGTGTTCTATATATATTATAGTGTTATCATACAAAAGTACTCAAGTATACATCTTTGGCTTATAAATTCAAGGTTTTAGCATTCCTGATAGCAGTTAATTCAGAATAGCGCTTTGGACACCCCAAATTTATTAAGTAGTATTATTTTCATGCATATCATTTGAAAGGTTCTGGGACATGGTTCGACATCACTATTTTGACAATTTTCTGTATTATTACAAAAAATTGCTTGATATATCAATTCATATGCAACTGTCCATTTGTTTACAGAAAAAAAGTTGAGTTTGAATATCTCTAGGCTCCTTATATGCTCAATAAATTATCAATGATGGATTAATTGACTTATATATATGCACTGTAAATTATTTGTGATGTCTTTCTACTTCAGCTTGAGTTCATAATCTTGCTGTGGGGGAGAAAGTTAATTGATTAATTATCATTCAGGTATACTAATTTTCATTGATAATGGGTATATCCGGTAATCCACATATTGAAGTGTCAACAATATATAAATTTCCTACAGACTTGGATACAGAACTTGTCAAAACCCAGAAATCAAGTTCCCCTAAAAATATAATCTTTTGTCAATACAATGAAATTGATTCCCACCAAAATAAACAAATATACAGTATAAAAGGCTTAGCCCATTCCAATTCAATCTGATTATATAATTTTATCAATAAAATATTTGAACTAAACAACAAGTTCATCACATATTTTAAAAAAGCAAACAATTGATCATGAGCTCGAGAGATTCATGTTTATAAAATCACAGAAAATTAAGTGGTCATCAACTATGTATTAAAATGATATTAAATATTGAACCTTCAAAAAATTTTTAACTGAAAAAAGACATTTAGAAATTGTTGTGTTAGAAAAACTGTCAAATTTGATGAGTTTTAATAATACATTTAAAATCGCTATTTAGCCTATATTCTATTTAGTAAGAAGAATACAGTGACTACAAAATGAATATGAATATGTATATATCATAACCAACTCTTTTTGAATTCTAAGGGAGAAATAAAAATGATTTAAAGCTGCAGGGATTTCTAAATATATCTGAATATTAAATAAATTTTATAGCAAAAAAGTCATTTAGCTGTTTTTCAACAGATG